TACAAATGTTTTGTTGTCTGTTGCTGCTGTGTCACTCTCGAGTCCGCATCCCTTCCACGAATGGGAACCAATCGATGTCCGTGTTTACATGGACAGTTCAAGGTTAATCCTGGGGGCCCATTACGCTTTTTTCGATCGGTTAAATGTGTCAAGGTGCCCGAAGGAGGAGTAGCAGCAGTATTTCGGTTCTGGCCAAACCGCACTTGAGATAAATTGCCTGCAAAATGGCCACAGAGCCACACAGAGAATATGCCAGGGTTGTGTACAAAGGACCACGCTGACATCTCTTAGTCATGAGCAGGTGGGTGGATGGACCTGGCCCCGGAACTCAGCTAGTCGCATGCAAAAATAATCATACACAAATGGATCCCCAGCAGCAACAAGCCAGCCATGCACTCAGTCTCACCGGGGGGAAAATGCTGTGACTCTAGCTGTGGATGTGGACTAAGCAAAAATAGACAAAAAAATAGAAAAGGACTTGGAGCGCTCTTCGCATGCACTTAGATGAAAACGACAGCACCAGCAGCGTCCACAACAAAGAGCAGCAAAAACAACGGGCAACGAGCAACGAGCAACTCGAGTAATGACAGCAGCAACATCAGGCAGCAGCAACATCAGGCAGCAGCCAGCAGCCACCGCAGCAACAATGGGGCCAACCGCTGGCCACGCCCCTCACATGCTGGCTTGTCTGGCTGCCAGTGGCGATTCAGGGATTCATTCATCCATTCATGCGCTCTGGCCATGTCGCCGGATGTGTGTATGAGTGTGTGCCAGTGGGTGGCCTACACAGTGGGAAATGCTACGACATAAATTCAAACTGAGTTTGGACTCGGGATCTCCTTCTCAGCCCAGCTGCAAAATCTCGTTAAGTAATCGTAAACTTGTTAGACAACTTATGTCCCAAAATCCGTATTCCATCATTCTTGAAATACGTGATGAGAATTTGAAACTAACTCATTAATATTAAACCCCCCATCAATAATTGAGAACAACAGAGGCTAGTCAATGGAGATATGGTTTGAGCTAGGAATGTTAAGCGAAAGGAAGATATATTGTATAATTATTATAGGTTTGATATAAGAAATTTTTCAATAGCTTAACAAATATTATCAATTACATTAATAATATCTTTGGAAGTAGTATTTCCAGAGTCCAGTCAGGAGTAGCTTGGTAGCTCATAGATCTTAGTTTCCTTGTTCTTGTTTCTCTGCCTGTAAGACTTGCATCTTTGCCACATCGTTGTTGCCACTGATGATGTTGTTGGTCCTTCTGCTGACTGTGCTGCTGCTGCTGCTGCCGTTGCCGTTGTTGGGGGAACACACTTAAGTGGTCGTTTAGAGTGTGCCACGCTGTTGTTGCTTGTTTATGAATAAAAAATAGTTTATTTGCAAAACGTTTAGCCCAGGGGTGCTCGAGCGGAGGAGTATCTGGAAGGGGGATGTGGGACGGGAGCGGCGGTCAATTAGGGAGTTTCATCGAGTTAAGCTTCCGTTGGGCGCTAATGGACTGGAATCCGCTTGCCAAGTGCCAGGGAGTTGTTTCATAATTGAAAAAGTTTTCAATAAGGCATATATAATGTGAGCCATCCTAAGCCACAACGTGACATCCTTGCGGGGGCTTTGGCATGAGAGTTGTGTATATGTGTTTGTGTGTGTGTGCTTTGCTGGCAATTTCAATTGGCAAGCTCGGGATGCTGCAGTAAGCGCACCCGTGAGTGCCATAAGCATGCGTCCAAAGATAATTGTTACGTCATTAAGCGACTGCCAGTAAAAGGCCCAGGACAACACAGCAAACAAAATAAATAAATAAGAGACAATCACACAAGCACACACACCTAAGCAAGCACACACTCTCATACGCACGCACACGCACAGCGTATGGGTAAGCAGAAATTATCGTTGCCTACTTTTGTGCGCAGTTCACAATTAAATACATTGGCAGCGACATATGCGGCAAAGCGTAAACAACAAGCCTGGCCAAAAACAAAAACGACGTTTTTGCTCCGCCAACTCCCCGAACTCCCCTCCTGCAGCATCCCTCTCCCCCCGCCAGACCACCATAGGAAAAAGGGCGGCTCAGCAGAGAGGAAAGTTAGCTTTCTCTGCGTGTCTATCCTGGCGACTCTTATTCGTTGGTGTAAGCCGCCCAGCGCAGGCGCTCTCTCTCACTTTCTTCCACAGTCTCTTCGGTTCTCTTTTGCCGCACACTAACACACATGCACTCACACCCACACACACACACACAATGGTGGGCAATGTCAATGTAACTTTTATCCAGCTGCCGCTTCACTGGTTTCCTTTGCTGCAGCGCCGCCGCCGCTCCGCTAGCTGATGGTGTGTGTGTGTTTATGCTCTGATTTGAATGCCACTGATAAGGTGGCATTACGCGTAACTGCTTGGGGCGGGGGGGACTTGAGCGAGCGGTATCTGTTTTCAGGGGGGAGGGAGAGCGGAGAGGAAGTTCAAGGAAGCTGAGGGGAAGTTGCTTTTTTGCATTATAATTCGATCTGCCTTAGTCACACGATGGCTTTAAGTGTGTGTGTTATTTCACTGTGAAAAATTTACAATTTTATAGAACTTGAAACTTTCATAATATACATTATTAAAATATATATTCCATTAAAAAAATCTATAGATATTTATTAAAAAATCTTGAAAGAAACTGGGCTTTTCGGAATGAGTCTATGGTTGATATAGGATTTATTGTTAAAACCTTTTCTGTGGATTCAAGACTTTCCCTGGGAATCCTTGATGAACAATTTACCTATTTATTATTGTATATTGAATAAATATATATATTTCTATTCTAAAGAGTATATGAATTAGCCTTCATTATTAATATCCGCTGTTACTACCCATATCATGACTAATGAGAAATCATTTCCAAAATGTGATGAATATAATTTTGCCTTCAAAAGCACCTACCCTTATTGCTTTATTTCATTTCCTCTCTTTCTGTAATTTATAACAATTATTGAGACAAATATTTAAAATTAAAAATTGCATCAAATTTTGTTGCTGTGCCTAAATAGTTGCGAATTGTGTGTGCCTTTGAGCGCGCAAGTTTACAATTGACTTTTAACGATACGACTCGCAGTAGACACACACACGATAGACAAACTTGTGTGTGCGAATTTATGTGTTATCATTTATTGTGCCTTTTGTGTGAAAACGTGCGCGCCGGGCGCAGATAGACGGATAGACAGACGCATATATAGTCCTGCCACGCCCCAAAAAAAGGAAGCCGCATCGCCCCTTGCCAGCGCCATTTTGTGATAATATGATGCTGCGCCTTTTGTTTTCACAGCAATAAAAATTGGTTGTAATTTAGTTGCCTCCCATCATTGCCAGCGTGTGTATCTGAATCCGAATCTGTATTTGTATCTGTATCTGTGTTTGTATCTGTATCTGTATCTGTTGGTGTGTCTGTGTGTTTGCCTTGTTGTGATTGATACGGAGCCTGTGGGAGAGCTTTGTTTGCCTTGTCTTTCCTGTCCCTTGGCAGGAGCCTAGGCTCCTTTCTAGGCTTCCAATTAACTTTCGTTGATGCGTGTTTCATTTTAATGCCATTTGCGGCTCCACTATTTGTATGGCATACTTTGCGGCCAGTGGCAATTTACATAGTCATAGGCCAATTATGGCCATCTATGCACACACACACACACACGCACACGCAGCACCTTGTACGTGAGTCGCATAATTGGTTCGTTTCGGGAAACTGGAAGCTAATGTTTTATGAATCACTATCACTGCACTGTGCACCGGAATGCAACGTGCAAGTTTCATGTAAAAATTGCAAATACATTATTTATGATGTTGGCAACAGCATATGGGTCAGTCAGGTTCATAAATAATTTCACAAAAACTAATTTCAAAACTGGAAAATAAACAACAATTTATGTTGTTAGAATTCACAGAAGATAGAGTTCATTTTAATGACCTAATGACTTATTTAACTGCAGCTTGTTAATGGCATACAATTAAATTGCACATCATAAATATTAAATAAACTATAGTTTATCGGAGAGATGATAAAATAAGCATAGATTTTGACTTAGGATTTTATTTTTAATCAGATGAATATTTTAAATATGCAAGTTTGCTAAAAAGGGAAATATGTTTATTTAATATCTACAGGAGCTGTTTTTTACTTATGCTTAGTTTTTTTTCATACAAATTATTTAATAAATACGTTTAAGTTACCTTTTGTTTATGTTTATCTTTTTAAGCATCTTATGCCCCACCTGAAGGTCTCATTAAAGCTTAAAAAATCCATAACTAAGTCAAAATTGAATTAATTTCAATTCGGAAAGATGTTATATGCTAGTTATAATTAGGTTAACAAATATGCAAACTAAATTACATATTTTAAAGTTATGAAATTTTTGTCAATTTTTGACATTTTTAATGATGTAACCCCTTATCGTTTTTTGCAAAAATCGAAAAAATTTTCAAAATTTCTTTTTCAACCGGACATAGCTGATTGATTCGGCTTTTAATTCTGATCAAGAATATATATGGTTTATAGGATCGGAAATGAGTTTTTCACCGAGTAGCAAGCTTCTGACTTAAATACGAATAAATAAACATAAATAGTTAATAAATATTTAAAAATGCTTTAAAAATAATTGATGAAGATGAAAAGGATAGGAAGAGGGTATTTTTGCCCAATATATCGTTGGAATTTTCCTCTCAATCTCCATTTCTATATTTTACTGAACTTTTAATCTCGATACACATCCCTAGCATAACCCACATACTACCAGCATGATTTAGTGCATCTCCATCTTTTTGCAATTCTACTCTCTAGGTTGCCACTTTTGTGGTGGTTTAGCTTCACCTCCTCCTCCCCATCCGAAACATGATTTGTTGCCACTGCAAATTGCACTTACTTACACAAAATATGCGTACTAACCTCATTTCCATTTGCATGGCTTTCATTGCAGCGCAGAGGAAGGATCTCGTCTTCGTCGCCCGGCTGAAGCAATTAACTGAAAATGTAGCAGGGGAAAGAACATGGCCCAACTGGAACAGCAAATGCCATGCGATGCAACTAGCATAAACGTGAGTACAGAGCCCCGCAAGGAAATGCGAAAATTCTAATGAAAATAATGAAAAGGGAAACGGGTCTGGTGTCGCGGCTAATTGCTCGAAGGGTCTAATACTAGAATCTTGGCTTTTTCTGTGGGGTGTAGGGGTAGTGCAGGGGCCGGGGCATTTCATTTGCTTTCAATTTGGCTGCCGTCTAATTGCTTGGCACTAATTTGGCGTCTCACATTTCATTCGCCGTCGTTTCCCGGCCATTATTAAAGTTTCTCCTTGGCAGCGGCCTCATTGTGTCCTCAGCCTCATTCTCATCCTCGGCATCATTCTCATCCTCATCCTCGAAATCATTCTCATCCTCATCCTTATCCCCATCCTCGTCCTTTCCTTAATCAACTGATATGAAATGCAGCTCAGGCTTGCCAAATAGCCGGAGGATGGATTCGGATTCGGATGCGGCTTTGGATTTGGATTTTGGTGGGCTGGCTGGGCCCTGGGCCCTGGGCTCGAAAACTTATTGAATCGGCAGCAAATAGATTCTTGGCACAAAAGAAAATGCCATGTTTGCTTGGCCCAAAAATGGTAATTTGATGGCGCTTTGCAAGTGCATCGATCGAAGTGCCAAAAACGAGATTGATTTACGAACACTGCCACCCCAGTAGAACTGATTGTGTAACGAGTGTTTCAACAGCTCCTAATAATCGTCTTAGGCGTGTCAATAGTATGGTAGTTTGCACTCAATCAGTAGCAGCAGACCTTAAGTATATATATTCCTAGGATTGAAGAACATGAAACTAGTAAATTTTAAGGATTTTAACAAGTGTTTCAAAGTTATTTTGACTTTTATGTGTTCTAGATAGGAAAAGTTATCTTTTAAATATGATAGTTAACGCAAAAGCATAGTTAAGTATCAACAGAACTAAACCCAAACTTACCAATTCGACCTTCACATTTCATCAACTCCCTTTATGCTCAATTTAAGGCCTTCTTAAGTTTACTATGTTCCCAGTAACAGCAACCAGTTTCTGTCATCTCCTAGCGTCTTAAATTGCTAAGCTGAAATTTGATTTGATTTTTAATATCGTCGCACAATCCGCGTGTGTGTGTGCCTTGGCTAAATCAGTTTTACAACTTTTATGCGAATCCTTCACCTGCTTTATTGTTGTCGTTGTCGTCGCCGTTGCCTCCGAGGAGTATAAAAAGCCGTGTAACATTACCGGGGACAACGGCAAAATGGCAATGACAGCAACGACAGGAGCAGAAGCAGCGCCAACAACGTCAATAGTTAAACTCAAGCGGGCTCCGAAGTACAAGATTGTTAGCATAGCGCAGGACACAGCAGGAGCCAGGACAACGCTCAGCGGCGGCACAAAGGCAAACACAAATGCACAACATTCTTTAGCGGATACACTGGGGTAAACGAAATGTTCATAAAGAAATTATTAAACAATAAAGAAAGGAAACTGACTTCGGAATATTATTGCATCTAAATTAAAGAATATAATCGGAATCAATATACATACATATTTATATGACAATTTTTTCGACAAATCAAAGTTTAAAAACCTCATAACTAAGCCAAAATATTAATTTAAGTTCTGAAAGCACTCCTTTGTCAGTTTTTATTATTTGTCAGTTTTTATTAGTTTTTTTAAATTGACTGATTTTTGTGAAAATGTTGTTTAAAATGTTTAAGGAATTTAGGAAAATATTAAAAATTTATTTAGAGAGGCAAGCACAGGATTATTTGGCTTAAGCTTTTATGGATTTAATTAAACACTTAAACGTCCAACTTAATCAGAAACTAACCGAATTTAAGAGAATTTTTCAAGTGTCCTTCAGGCATCTCTAATTGTATTATTTATTTTTCCAGTTCACATTGTGTTTTCATCTATGTTTTCCTTGGTTTTTTGTATTCTCGTTGACATTTTCATTTACCTTCCTTCCTTATTTTCCTCAATGTAGGGATTCTGGAAAATGGGGACAAGTGACGTTGCCCGCTGGGCATCGTGTTGGCCAGAGGAATGAGGATGGCCTCGACTCCTGTGGCTCCTCGCAGGTCCTGTGGCCTGCTGCATCTGAAATGCGGAGAAATGATGCATTTAATCGGATCCCAGGGTGGTGGTGCTAAGCAAAAGGAATAAACCAGAAGGCAGCACCTGGGCGTGGCTGGCGGAAGTTGACACGCCAGCAAAGGTCTCCTCTTAGCCCAAACAGGCGATGGCGTTGGCGTTGTCCTGGGCGGTAACGAGTCCGTGGTTGTGGGTGTTTTGGGTGTCACCTGCTTTGCATGTGACACACGCCCCCAACGTGCCATGGATACCTGAGTGCATGTGTAGCAGCCATGCAGGTACATGCACTGAGGGAAAATAACTAATAACTATGCTAAATTCTGAGGTGAAAAGTTAAAATACAAATTATTTATTCTCACATCATTAAGATATTTATACAATGAGATGAGATTTTATAGGTCCCTGACTTGAAGAACCCCAACTAACATAGTTGCTTACCTTTCAGTGTGCACATAGTTCGAACTATGGAAGGTAGCTCTTTGAGTTTTCTTTTTTTTCCCTCGGCGAGTGTTCGGGATTTCCTTTCATATCGCAACGGCACGTAAATTCGTAATAAATTTGAAATTATGTGCACATTTCGTGCCGCAGGCTGAAGGCCAAGCAATTTGCAACTTGCACTTTGATAATTTATGTTGCAGGCTCCCAGGCAACGGTGGCCATAAGCATATATCACATCTGCCATCCGGCCAGTCAGCTTCCCGGCTTCCTCTGCCCCATCTGCCAGGGGATCCTGCTAGGTCCCAGGATGGCGTTGTCAACCCGGTTTGCCGAGTAAAATGAATTTTTTTTCTTTTTCAATTTCCACGAACGCGAGCGCGGCACAAAGGACATGGATTGATTATGCCGACTGTCAAGGACACTCACTCACACTCACTTCTCTTACGGGGCTTCAGTTTCGTTTTCAATTGGACACATCCTGTCACACGCTCTGTCAGCTGGCCAAGGACGAAAAGGAAGGCAGATATATATCGAGAGGGAAAGGCAGTGAGAAGGAGCAGGAATCATCGATAGCTTTTTGTACAATCGCCCGCACAAATTGATGGTCAGTGCGAGTGACGCTGTCTAATAACACTCATTACGGCTCCATTCATCATCTCGCCGCGCATTGCATCTGCCACATGCCACATGCCACTTGCCACTGGCCATTGGCCATTTCTCTCCCCCATCCGCCTGCCATTGACAGCTGCAATCGATATGCATTTCGCTTTTGATGCGAAACTTGATTTGCCAATTGCCATAGCTCCGGGGGGCTGCGGCTTAAATGCTTCAGGTAAATTCAGCCTATAAACCTGACCCAATCAGAGGTCAGCTTAATTGGGCTTTTACCTGGCTGAGCAATAGGACATGGGGGTCTTGCAGTTTAAATCGGTTTTATGGCTACTAAATTGCAGTTCGAGATATATTAGTTCCTATTAAATAAGCTCAACATTCCCAATTTTTGTTTTTACGTTTTGATATACTCTTATATTGTTAAATAGAATTTAATATTTGTACTTTCTGATCCTTTTTGATTCTCCAAAAATGTTATTTTTCCCCTGAATCAACTTGCCAATCAATTAGTCGAGCAATTTTCGACTTTTCCAAACTCCAAATGTTACCGCAAAGAGTTTCTCTTAAATTAAATGCGATTTGGTAAATGTTTGGGGAAATGCTCCCTGCAGTGTCGCTTCGCTTTGCAGAAAGTTGATTCAATTTGCTGACTTGGCATTGGTTTCATTAGTCCCTCGTTCTGGGCTGGAATCGCTTGCCCCTGGCCACTGCAGCATATGCATATTTTATGCATGCAACCAACCCAATCATGATTATTCCACGAATTGCAAACTGCTCCTGTCGTGTCCTTTTCCGCTTTACTCTACTTTCGTCTGGCCACTTCCGGCCGCCAATTTATGGATTTTCGCAATGCCAGGGTTTTGGTTTTTGTTTTCGAGTTCTCTTTTTTGGAGTTTTGTACCCAGTATTCTGCAGCATATTAAGGATAGTTGGATATCGAGGTATAATATATATTTCAATTGGGAAATATGTTGATTTATTTCGTAAAAATGTACTAAATATAGGATTATAAATATTGTAAAAGTGATTTCAACTTGATTTCACATTTTAATGTAGATCCCGAATTGAGTACTAACGATGTGAAGAAACAGGGAAATTCATTCGTAGTCACAGCCTTTCCACTTGATTTCCAATGCTGTTTGTTTGCCCGGCAACAACAGTGGCAATCGTAAACAATTTGATTTTGAGGCACGCGGGACAGGAAGAGAAGGCACCGAGGGGGGCAGCAGCAAAGAGGAGGGAGGCGGAAGGGACACCGGGGGATGGCAGTGCAGGAATTCTAATCGGATTTCGTTGCAGCTGCGGCCGGAGCTGCCAGCGAAACAAAAGCTTTTGCCAGGAAATTGATATCGAAAGCAATTTGGCACCGCTGCCCTCTGCGGATGAAAGATACGGACGGACGGGTGCGGGGGGATGGCTACAGGGGGGTGGATTGTGGATTATGGACTAAAGCCTGGTCGTGTGGGTGGGTGTGTGGGAGATGAGGTCGGGGTCGGAGGGTGTAATTCAATTTTTGCCACTGTTAGTGCGGCCCACGCTGCGTATGCGCAACGCAACTGCAGGCACAGCATAATCTCTGGCACTTTAGTTTGATCGCCTGGCATTTGTAAGGCCTTCGACGGCAGCTCTAGTCCTGCTGGTACTGTTTGGTCCTGCTGGTCCTGCTCGTCCTGCTGCTACCGCTGCTCCTATGGCTGCTCCTAGTTCCTTGCAGGCCGACGTTGATGAATATTGCTACAGCGATAAATTCAATTACAAGAGCCGAGTGGGGCCAAGTCGAGCGCTATAACTCAACTGACAGCGGCAGCAAAGGAATCCTGGCCGCCTCCGCCACTTTATCCACTTGACTTGGTCCTTAAAGTGCTGCTGCTGCTGCTGCAGGCAAAAAAAGGGGGAAACGCGCAAGGAAAACAGTTAAAAGTAAACAGAAAAAGGAGCCAGAACAACATAAAATAAATGTAATAAATTTTAAACATAGAGATGATAAATTGCTCTGGGACTCGACTCAAGGCGCTGCCAATGCGCGATTCTCGGTCCCAGTCCCACTCTCTTTCTCTTTCTCTGTCTCGGTTCTCCTTTCTGGGTTTTCCCCTACATTTTTACAATTTGTTTGTGGCTTCTCGCGTCCTGTTCCTGCCCTGCTTCGTCCCGTCCCTCGTCCTTGCTTTTGGCACGTGTGTTTGGCATTTTTATCTATTTGGCAGCTGCTTTGGCTTGTCGTTGTTTAATTTAGTTTTCTGCGAAATTGATTTGCTGCAAAGTTTCCGCACTTTCCCCCTTGTTTTTTTTGTGTTTCTTTTTTATTCGAAGCAGACTTTACAATCTTTTTGACACGCCCACACGCCTTTTGCCGTGTCGAAAGTTTTTGCAACTTTCGACCCAAGTCGCATTAATGCTGCAGTTGCAAATGTTTCTCGCAACTGGCAACTTTTACTTAAGCGCTGCCAGCTGTCGGTGGATGGTTGGATCTATTTCACAACTCAACTAGGCTAAAGTTAAACTTAAGTCCTGCCAGCCGTCTGTCACCTTGTACAGTTCTCCAAACGCTTCTCTCTTTGCAGAAACTCAGAAAATTCCGTGATTAGGACGTGTTGTACCCTAACGCTCTAAATGCAGACGATATGGTGAGTGGCCCAATCAAATTTATTTAAGATACATGTTGGGGAAGTATTTAATACAAGTTTAAAGTTACGGTGTGTAAAATTTGAAGGCTTAGTTAATTACTTAACACTTTGTTACATTATAGCGAAAGAATAGATGGATAGTTGACAGAAAAAATATCCTCTGGCTAGATTATTGGGTATACAAATATGTATATAAAATTAATCGGATATTAAGCTTATTAAATACCCAAGCAGTTTCCCTGAGAAAATATTATTTTTCGCGCTTCAACATGGGATAACCCTTGAGTTAATCCTTTGATTGGCCTAAAGTGTGGTTCAACAAGTTGAGCTTCTGGCTGATTAACTTGAAATGCAGCTTCTTCTTGCCTATACACAACACTTACATCCAAACACCGAAACACACACAAATACAGACATCGTGCCACATCAGACAGACGATGTTATTATAAATCATGCATTACGCATACGCCGCATATGCCCAGAACTATTAACAAGCACATTGCATATTCATGAATTTGTTTTTGATGTGCCTGGAGTGCAGGTTGCTGCAAGGAGCAAGGAGCAAGCAACACACAAGCAGATAACAGAAATAGAGGGCGACGAGCCAAGTTTTCTAATTAAAAACTACAAATAATTGTGAGACTCGTAATGAGCGCGCACCCATACAGAAGAGGCAAGTGCGCTGCATCCGCGAAAGCCAAATTTAAATTGCAATTTGTCACTGCTGCGGTGGCATGCGACATGCTCTATACATGCAACATGTGCGTACAAGGCTCTCTGTCCTGGCTAATTTCCATTCCAGCTGGCTTCTCTTCTCCTGCTGAATGATGATGATGACGATGATGAAGTTCTTTGGCAAACTAAAATGGGAAAAAGGCATGCCTGCATTTCATTTTTCACAAAAACGTGTGACAGCCTTTGTTGATGTTGGCCGCATGCAAACAACTTTTTAAACTTTAATTCCAACAGAATGTTAATCAACCAAGTGAATGCATATTGTGGCTCCCTTCCTAACCATGCCGCAGCACTGGGAATCAGCAAATGTAAATTCCCGAGGGTGGAATGCATAAATGCATCTGTAGTCGGGAGTACAGCCAACGCGGATACAGATACAGATATGGCTAAATTTATGCCAGAGACTCGCGGCGTTGAAGTGTAGACTTGCTGCGGTTCTGGTTTCTGGTTGCTGCTGCTGCCACTCCTTTCGATGCTGCTGCTGTTGATGATGATGATGGTGCTGCGAATGCTGCAACTTTTTGTGCACCATCGAGCGCCATTTGTTTCAGCCAAGAGCCACCCCATGGCCGGGCACTCAGAGCCCTAGCTTCTCTAAGGGTTTAATAACTATTTTGGAGTGTTTGCAACGCTCCAGATTGCAGAGTGGAGAAGACATTAAGTTGCAACGGAGTTGCAGCTGAGGCAAGATGTATATAATAAAGAAAAACAAAGGGGAAAATCCTTTCCTAAGATGAGTTAGTTAAGTTTAGAGTGAGTAATATCAGCTTATATTTTACAAGAGTTTAGAATATTAACATTCTCGTGATTTATTAAATATCATAATATTTACTACTCTACTTTTAAAGAACTCAATCTGTTAGTGCATCGCATCACCTTTAGCATCTGTATCGCTGTTGCGGCTGCCCTTTTATTTGCTGCGTTTTCTCCACTTTTTGCGTCGCTTTGAAGTGGTTCCTGCGCTTTAGTCCATTCTAATTGGCTCTGGCTGCCTTTTAATTTTTTACTTTATTTTTTTTTTGTTTGCCAGCTTTATTATTTTCGCATTCGCTGGCTTTGAGCGAACAGGAGGAGCACTCATTAAACTGCTGGCCAAGTGCACAATTAGCAGGGGCCACAGATACGGGTCAAAGTATCGTCCGTCTGACTAATTGCGAGAGAAACAGAAACAGGTCAGCCGCAGGTGGGTAAACACTGGGAAATGGGAAATGGGAATGAAAACGTGCATTTGAATAAACATTAGCCTCAACAAATTGCAATTTATTTGCGTCCGTTGTCCATTGTTGCGGCTATTACTTTCGACTGCAATTAGCATTTTACAGTTGTCCCATTGTCGAGTGCAGCACATAATTTCCAATTATGTGGCAGCCGCAGTTTGCAGTTGACAGTTCGCCAAAGTTCCATGGCTCCATGGCCAACTCGACTCGGTTTTGCTCTGTTCTGCTCCGTTCTGACTGCCTGGCAGGCTCCTTAATTATTCAGCAGGATACACACATGAGCACACACACATCCTTTGCTGCCAGCTGCCCGGAATTAATGGATACAGCTGAAACGTAACAGAAAACTCCACTCAGCTTCGAAGCCCCCTCCCACCCTGCCCCGCTATAAGCTCATGCCGGAAAATTCCGCACTCCGCACTCGACATTCACCTAGTTACGCATACGCCCTGATGACATTAGTGCAGCATTGCAGACAATTTTCGTTGGCGAAATGGGAAAGCCACCGACCAGCGGCCAGCAAAGAACACACGCAAAATGTGCACTGTAAGAAAAGAAAGTTAGACGAAGTCAGGACTTATTTATAACATTAAAAGTTTTATATTTAAGAAGTTTATAAGAATTCCTTGGTTTCTCCAGTGTCTGAAATATATATTTTATATATTAAACCTCTTTGTTTATGGCTTATATTTACTAACTTCTTTGGGTGGCAAAGTGTTATATGTTTTGAATTCTTTAATAAATTCCCAAGGTTTTTATATGACCTACTTTTAATTTGTAGCCTAGAAAGACATTTTTCTGTTACTGTTTATACAAACTCAACTCAATGGAGGATACAAACTTGTAAAAAAGGGTATTTTTTTTCTTAACTAAAACTTTTTTTCTCTGTGCACACACTCTCCCATCAGCAATTCCTCTATAAATGTGTGTGCGTGCGACGCAGTTTCACGTTGATTACGAGCACTTTATGGCTCCGTGCTACGTGTGGGCGTTGCTGCTTCTGCTGGTTCTGGCCAACAGACCGTGGACTGCCATAGACATGATGTCTATGCGTTCATTGTTGCAATTTTTACTTTATTATCAACGTCTGTAATCACTACAAGAACAACACCGCGCAGGAAGCAGCCGGGAGAGCAGCCCCTCTCTGATGGATGTGGCAGAGCGAAACTCGTTTCGGCGTCTGTTATTGCGGCCAGAAAACATTTCGAGTGGCGGAAATTTGATAAATGCCGGTCGCTGACCCAATGGGCGTGGCACTCGCCAAGGGTTTATCTAGTGTACTTGTAGGTTATTTATGATTATTTCACATATTTTTATGGCTTGCAAATGAGGAATGTGTTTGCGCTACTCAGGGGCGTAGTTAGTTAGGAGAAAGTAGGGTATGAGTGAGGGTTTAAGGGGGGCACTTAACTAGATAATACATATTCGAACAAAAGTTATATACATATTCCAGTTTCAGGCAATTTCTTATCATTCGTTGTTGTGTGTGAGTCCTTGGCCCTTTGGGTATGTGTGTCAAAGAGAGCTTTTTGTAACAGTAGAAGCTTCCTGTTAACAGTTACAGTAGAATTACGTATACGTAAAGCGTCCTTTTTGTTTATAACTCAGCTAGAAAGCTTTTAGTTTCATCCGATAAGCTTTCGAGACATTTAAGGGATTGCAAGTTACACGTTTTACAGTAAAAAGCTCCCAAGGATGTGCTATAAATGTGTGCTAGGTACTTTTGCCATAACACACGGCGTATGCGTAATGTTGGAAATAAAAAAGGAATTTAAATTACAAGAGTTTAAAAGAACTTACAACATGAAAATAAATATAAATAATATAAAATTATGGTAAAACTAACTACGATTTCAATATTAAGTAACAAATACCTTATTTATCCCATTTTAAATTCCTCTTAAATGCAAAATAAAACACACAAAGGGAAGCTAGCGTAACAAAATAAAAAGAAAACAAACAGAAAGAATTGGACTCTCAGTCGAGGACCCTTTGAACATGAGTTGGGGTAGTTTGTAGAGAAAAAAAAGCTGGACAATCCTTTGCCTGACGGCGTTAACCGAAATGGGCGGGACCACGGGAAATTGATTAAAAAGACAAGAAAACCCGAATGCTGTCCGTAATCCTCGAAAAGCGCTCCAGGAATCGATAATCAAAGCGAAGTTGGACAAACAATTTCCTTATGGCTTTTTAAGCATTTACTTGATGCTGTTTGTTTTCTTTTATTCCAAATCTTATTTCAGGGCACAACATGGCCTCAGCACAGATACGACATTTCTATAACACACCAACAACAATTTCTTCAACAACAACAACAACGACACGCCAACTCTTACAACAACAGCAGCACACGAACAACTGCAGCAGCAGCAGCAACAGCAACAAGCGAAAGCAATTTCCAAGCGTTACGTTTCTGGGCCACACACAAAAACACAGAGATTCGGAGGCAGTTACAGGAGCAGAAGCCAGAGCATCAGGAGCAACATTATGCCAGGCAAAAGCATCAGAAACACGAACAGGAGCAGCAACAGCAGGAGGCACAGCAACGGCAGCAGATGATGTACGTGAGTCCTGGTCCGCAGATGAGATCACTGCTAGCCTCAAGACCCAGCCCAGGATGCAACATCCCTTGGCCAGCAGTGCTGCTACATTGCATGTTGCTGCTCCTACTGCTAAACAGCAGCAGCAGCACGAACAGCAGCAGCAACACAAATGCCCTCATCCTGCTGCTCCTGCCGGCCTGGCAGCTCATGCAGGGACTTCGGAGCGGAATTGCTATGCCACGAGCACTTCTTGCCTATCACGTCTATCTTCCAAAGTCAGTCTCAGTCAGGACTCTACGAAACCTCACCATAAAGAACAGCCACAACAACGAAAGCCCCTTCAACACGTCGCCAGCACTAGGGACTCGGATGCTTCCACTTCGACGAATCCGGCTGTCAGCATCCTTATGGATATGCAAAAGTTTGCACGCTCTATATTTCCGCTGGTTATCATCTTCAATCTGCTGCCTTTATTCTATGCAGGTAAGTCATATTTTTATATATTTCCAAGGGTACTATACATATAGTCAGAAGCATGTAACTATGTAAAGGAATCATTTCCGACCCTATAAATTATATATATTATTGATCAGCATTAACAGCTTAATCGATCTTGCCTTGTCCGGTCGAAAAATAATTTTTCGAAATTTTTTAGATTTTTTAAAATTTTTATAAGGGGTAACATCGTTAAAATTGGCAAAATTTTGAATTTTTTAACATTTTAAACAGAGTATGCAGATTTTTTATACTACTAAAAACTTGCACAGGAGTGCTTTCCGAATTGAAATTAAAGCATTTTTGGCTTAGTTATGATCGATTGAACATTGGAACACATGGTCTTATGGCTAACTATGAGAGTATACAAACTTCGGCTTTCTAGCTTCTTTTAACTAGTTATTCCTGACTTTATACAAATTTTAACTAGGGAGAAACATTGTTAATGTCGTCTGATATGTAAACTTTTAAACAAAAACAAAAGTCAACAAGTTTTATTACTAAGGTTCATTTAAAATCTTTCTGAAATGAAATTAATACCAATTAACCCTGAATTACGGAATTTATTTACTCAAATTGCAAAGACGAAAGCAACAGTTTTTCTTTGTGTAAGACTTTTAATTCTGTTGAAAGTTTTTGCCTTCTCGCATAGCACCCTGTGAACTGTATATCCTGTCAGCAATTTTCCCCTGGCTCTAATTGCCAGCCTCGAGTGGCAGCTCTAGCCTCGTGCTCGGGCAGCTTTAAGGACCTCGTTCACAGTGCCCACTGTAGTCGCTCGGGTTGGTAAATAAATAATTGCAACTGTCGAAGAACATTTGCAAATCTGGCCAAACAACAACTGAGCTCATTATTTATGTACGCGGGGCAAATATGTATTGACTGCCAAAGGCAATGACGAAAAAAATTTAATGACCGACAAAGTGTGCGTCCCTTGACAGGAAGGAAACAATCCCCGCTCGTCGCCCCTTCACATTCCCTTTGGATTTCCATTTTTCTCTTTCATTTTCCCTTTTTTTTTTCAAAACTCTTTGTGTGACAGTTTTTTTTGCATTCTTGCTGCTCATTTTTTTAAAGGCAAACATTATTACAAAGTTAGAGGGGGTCAAGCGAGGTTGGAGCCTAGAAGACAATTTGCTGGGGGCCTTAATTGCTTGCCAGCCAAAACAATATGCTGGCAGACCCTTCTCGTGGCCTTTGTTAATGCTGCAAACTTATTAATTAAATGCGAACATAATTATTTAAGACAAGCTGGAGCTGTCGCCGGAGCAAATTCAATTTGTGATCAGTGCCTGATAGCTGGAGTTGCATTAGTGGCAGGGGGGGATGCCCCTGCTCGGCTGCCTAATGTGGCAGAAGCGAAGGCAAACAAAAGCGGCACCATTTCAAAAGAAATCAATGACAATTCGTTAAAGGTCCCCCTCAACTTTTGCCAGGCCCAGGACATCAGGGAGAACATCCAGGACCTGCCATCATCATCGACATTTTAGCAGCGATTAAAGACAATTGAAGCCGCAGATGCAGGCTTTCTTATCAGTTCGCTCGGAAAATGAGAACTACGGATTTTCCTCTCTCTCTCTCTCTCTTCGTCTCGCTCATGGAGGAAAGCTCGCGCCTGCGTTAAGGCTTTCCATGTTATCAATTTTGCTCTCTCTCTTAAGCTGTTATCACTCAGACACGAAATGTTTGCTGGGTTATCCTTCCTTGGCCCCTTTGTTTAGGCCAAATAAATCGCTGACTTGGCAGGCCGGACCTCGAATAATGGGGGAACAACGGAATACGAAGAAAAGCGGGAAAGTCAAGACTTAGACATTGCCCCGGGCACAGGTCAAAGTATCTGCAATTTGAACACATACCCATTTATCTTGTCTCCTTGCTCGGCGTAATGAGATTTTCGCCAAAATTAAATGAAATCGAAAATTGAGCGCTCCCAAGTTTTGTGACAAATTTAAATTAGCAAAAGCCTAGCCAGCAATTATCCACACAAAGGAGCCGGCATAATGAGCGGAAGCCAAAGTCAAACGGGACTCTTCACCTGTCAGCTTTCGGCCACCTTTCTGAACTCTGGCAACTGGCAACTGCCACCTGCCACCTGCCAGGTGGCGTCTCAAGTGGCGGCTTTTGGGCGGCGGTTAAGCGGCATCTCCTGCCTTGGCGGCCACTCGAACAAACAGAATCGACGGCTCATTGAGCGACTGAAATGAAATGAAATCCCGGGGCAAACAACTCCAAGGATCCGCCACTCCAGAAGGAATCGGTGGAGGGGAATCAAGAGGAGGAGTATGAGGTTCCGGGCCAAATCCAAGGAAAATAAGAAGTGCACAAAAACGAAATCATAAATTCAATTTGATTTATTTCAGCTGTACAGTATTGGCGGTGGGCTAACCGCCTCCAGATTCAAATGCTGTCAAAGGATGCACTGTAAGAAAATTATTATGAGTGCAATTATATGCAATAAATACAAAAAAAGAAAGGTTCTTTACTAAAATATGAAGTTATTTCAATTTGAACTTTAACAGTTTAGTTTTTAACATATTTAAGCAGATCAAATATACTCTGTTTATCTTAAAACATATCTGTTTATATATACATTATGCTATAATAATATTATAACGTAAAAAACCATAAATATCCAGTCTTCTATTAACATTATTTTGTAATAATTTGCTCATGATTTCCTTTTCGTGTAGCAAAAGCTTTTGCTTGATGTCATCGCCGAGAGCACCCATCGTTCTCTCGGCACTCGCATTTCCCATTTCCCGCTTTTCTGGCCTTTATCGGAGTCTCTCGCTTTCTCTTTGAATCTTTGCCTTAAAAGCCGTGGCAGCTGCCGAATGTGTTCAGTCGATTTCTGTCGGCCGTGCCGCATACACGCATACAGTTTGCTTTTCAGCCAACGCCGCAATCCAACGCTTCAGATTCAGCTTCAAAGGCAGCATTATTTCGGGAAATCGCGTCCTTTGTAATCGCAACGTGTGACAGACCCCACGAAAACCGTTTTCCCAGCAACGCGCGCACTTTTCCCCCACGCGAACGGACAGGCGAAAGGTCCTTAGGACGGACCCTTTGTGTGCTTCCGTCTTATCGCTCCTATTTTGCATATTTATGTTTGCTTAACCATTCCGTTTCGGTGTCAAAAAGCGTGCCCCAATCCCGGCAATAACAGCCAGCGAGCCAAAAAGGAGAGCTTAACTGGAAATTGTACAACACAAAAGTGAATTACAAATCAATTGAGAAAGCAGCAGCCCCTCCTCGTCAGCGAGACGTAAATATTCAAATGGAACTTATGCCTGATTTACATATTCTTTTGAAATTGCCTTGGTCGTCGTGGTGCACAATTGAGATATTGGGGCGTTTATAGTATAGAGAGGGATTTTAGGGGGTCACGAGATAAAATGTTGGGTTTAAAAATAGGTACTTAAATACTAATCTTATGAGTAGGATTTTCCACAATAATTACTTTGCTTTCTCTAGAATATTGCAAGCCATTAATTCATAACATATTTATCAAGTATAGAACTAGATAGAAAATTACGCAGAATTCATTTCCATTCAAACTCAATCCCCATTGTTTGTCTTCAATGCATATACATCAGATGAATGCATATTCGGGATACCTCTCCTTCTCTTCCATTGAAAGCATACACAATTGCGTTATTAGCTCACATACACAGCCACTATATATTTCTAATCGTTAACCCTGAGAGTGCTCTCCTTGGAGCGTCCTTACACAGGACATATGATAACATAACAACGAAAGGCAGAAGCAATTGTTGAGGGATTTACAAGGTGGCTTTTCTTCTCTCTCAAATCGTTCGCAATGCAGCAATAAAAATCCAGCTAAGGAAAAGGTAGAAAAACGGATGGAAATGTGTCCACAACCAGTTATGACAACTGGCTAGGATGCTGCTCTCAGCTGTTCCCTTCAGCTCCTTAATTGGAGTCAATGTCTGGGAGAACTTTCCAATTCTTTCTTTCGACCCTGTAGCGTCTGCCACTGACAAGTGACAACTTTGACAAAGGATAACCCCTTCTGTTCATATCTAGAAAATATAAAGATGCACAGGAAGAAATAAGGAAATTATGATATTTTCAAACGAATATAGCAATAATATGGAAAATACAAAAACATATCTTTCAACCAGTTAACAAAACTTAGGAAAAATAAAGTTAAAGAGTGAATACTCTACCTTTTCTCTGTTTCCAAAGAAAGTTCAGTTCAAACTTTCTTTCCCGCACCAAAGGAGCTTAGGTGTTCTTGAAATCCAAAAAAAGAAATCGTCAGGATTTATACTTGCAATTTGCATGCACTTCGGCAATGGCCGTGTGATTGAAACCTGCCAAATGTGCAAACTGTGGGGAAACAGCCTACGTTCTTTACCTTTGGCTGGGCAGCTTGGCCAGGTGATAAGTAAACAGGTGAGAGCCCAACCCTTTTTTTTTGTTTTTGTTTGATCCCAGCCCAGACATTGCCACTAAATCAAGCTGCTGCTCCTGCTGCCAGGTAATAGAGAGATAAAATTTGCTACGTGTGGAAAGTGTGTTAAAAAGCAAAGGAGCAAAGTAAAGTCGCAAATAATGTCGGCGGCAGCCACTCGAGTCGAGTGTTTAGGACCATCACGCATAAATTATTTATTCATTTGCCGTCGCTGGGTTTTTATATGCATCATTAAAATTTCTTTTGGGGCCTCAAAGTGAATTTTTTGGGGGTTCGAGGACGGCTGGCTCTCCTTTGACCCGCCTCCGAATTGAAAATGGGGTTTTCACTTTGGCTATTTTTTATAATGAGCCCGTTCCAGGCTCCTCGAGCTAACCCTTTGCTCACATGGTTGGCCTTTGCGCCATTGTTCGGCTTCCCGCCGGCTGAGCCCGAGGAGAACTGGGGTCGGAGGGCGTGGTCGGTTGGGTTTCCGCAGAAAGTGTTTATTTATTTTTCGTTTGTTGGCCATTCGTGCTGGTAGCATTCGCAAAAGTATTCCAATTTTTTGCTCCTCTGTTTCCGTTTTAGCTATTTGCACCACAGAAATTATAATAATACCCCATGGACGCGGGCCAACGTTGCGTATGAGCAATGTGTGCTTTCCCGTATTTTTTTCTCTCTAAATATTTTTTGTATTTAATCCCCGACTCGAAACTAATTAGCGCCCTGTGCAGAGAGTGCTGGTTGTTTTGAAGGCTTTCTGCAGGAGCAGCAGCGTCCACGTTATGTGATATGGGATGAGGAATATTGTTAGGAAAAGGCTGCAACTTTTTCATTACATCAACTTGACGGCTGCCAAGTGAAAACTTTTCACCAGCCAGCCCCAGCAGGAGCAAAATGTAACTGGGGAAAGCGAGGAAAAAGGGGGAAAGCAACGGACTTTTGCCAGCTGTGGATGCTGTTTCTTTAATTTGTATTTAGTTAGCGGACGATGCTAATGAGTTTGCTGTTTAAAAAAGGACCGTCTTTTGATGTCAGGCTAATAGAATTTAATTTTCATAGAATTCAAAGGTTTTTACGGGTAATGAATTCATGTTGCAGTCCATAACTTATTAGGTGTTGGCCCCAGAATTTACCAAAGTCAATCAATTATGGTTCAGTTAAGTTTAGTTCAGTGACTTCATCACTTAGCTGCAGCCTGGTCCATCAATCTTTTGATCAATCTCGACACAGTAAATAGCTCAGTAAAAGTTTCTTTTTCTCCGTACCCCCTGGGCATTATGTATTTATGGGTAAGCCAAGCGAAAACTATGCCGATTTCAATAAAAATCATTAACCGAGCACTCAAAGAACGATTCGATTCGATGGCATTTGCTTGAGTTCTCTCTGTTGTTTCTGTGTGGGCAAGCAGAACTTTCCGACACATTAAATATGAATGAAATACCTCGGTAATTAAGCTAAACACACTAAGAGAGAGGGTGCGAGGGGTTGATAAACAAACCGCAAATAGTCATAAAATGAGATGAGGTGGCGCCATCGAAATGAACTTCTTCTTGGCCAAACACATTTCCAATCGAATTATAAATAAACAGAAGCTGCCTGGCACAAAATAAACCCGCAACAGGAAGCCAATTCGAATAGTCCGAGTCAGCGTTCAGCGTTCAGCAAATTCCTAATTTATAATGGAAATGGCAAACAGAGAACTGCCATTACTTTGGCATAATGGCTGATTACCCAATTTGAATTTACAATATTTCCGGGAAATTTCATTTGGCTTTCTTTTACACAAAAATTCGCACTGTTCTCGGCCAAATGAAATGAATTCACTTACTCCAAGAGATGGCTCTTTAAGCCGGGAATTTCATTAATCTTTGTCGCACGTTCCTTGGCATATTAAAATATCTCTTTTGTGATACGTGAATGTTCAGAAAAAGGACAAACGAGAGCCGAGAGCGAGCAGCATCTTTGTGTGTAAGCTTTAAAAGTCTCCACCCACCCCTCCTCATCCCTGTAAAAGGCAGCGTGAAACATGCAACAAGCTGGGTCAGGAAGCGGTCCAGGAGAAGGCCATCCCAGCTACTACCAGCTACTATGTCGAGGTTACACCCACACCCTCGGCGAACACACACGCCACTATGCGAGTATAAATCTGCCATTCATGTGGGGTACAATGAGGCGGCCCAGACGCTTGGCCAAGGAACTAAGACAAAAGATACACAGAAATCAAGTTTAAGTGCAGTTGAAGGCGGAAATGTGAGGCTGCCACATACTACACAGCAAAAAAATGCAATTCACTGGGAGTAGCGTAGTGTGCAATATCAATATAATTATGGATAATAGTCTCAGGATTATGTTTATCGAGAGAAAAAGTTCCTCATGATAAATTATGATAAATAATATCCAAGTTGTAGTAGGGTCTTATATTAAACAGACTTTTAAATGGAAAACTATTTTGTTACATTAAATATCGGTTTAAAATTCAGCCTTGGCGTGTAATATCAATGCAGGATTTAACTGCTCTCTATACAATAAAAAGTCTTATAACAAGTCCTCATTATATGGAAACACTTTAAACTCTGAAAACCAATACAATTTTTGTATTTAATGTTTTCCTTTGAATATAAAACAATATATTTATACATTTTCTAGTTTATAATGCTTGATTTTATTAGAAATTATAAAGATCTAGGCAAGGCCGATGAGGTTCACCTGACCGTGGATTATTACGCGCTTATAAATCAGAACCGCTTGCTGGCAGTTGCCAAGGGCCGCCTAAACAAGTGCAATTATTTTAATGCACTTTTGACTTTTGACGTGCCAAGACAGGCCAACAACGGGCTTTAAGCCCTGTTCAAGCATTTATGCGGCTATTGTCTCACCCAAACACACACACAATACACACTCACGAATACACGGCTCTTGGCGGAGAGGACTCCTTGAGTCGCATCCAAGCCAAGGTCGTGGGCCGTGCATTTGAACTTGACAAAGGATTTCTGGAGGCTGGTCTTTAATTTTATATGCAATTCCATAAACGTTTTTTTTTCCACCGCCCTCAAACGCGAGCAATTTTCTGTAATTTTTCGCGCTCTACTCGTGGGGGGGTTAAGTTAAGTTAACCCGTCAACGATTCGCGAGGGAAACAAATTGAATTTGTGTGCTGCGAGAGCACGCAGAAAATGTGTGTGTTTTCCTTTTTTGGCAACGTCACTGGCAGCGCTGTCGACAATGGGAAAAGCGATGCCTACGATGCCACTCCCTTTCCCTTGGCCACGTCATGGCCCATTTGTTCTATGGCCTCTCACACCCACGCAACCCGCTTTTTGGCATGGCATAAACAAATTTTGCAAATGTGCGCATAAAACTTACGAAATTGCAAAAATTTATTTTATTTCACAAAACACACACACACACTCATTGTGTGACAAGGCCTTTTCCTGGCGCTTCCTTTCGTCCGCCTTTTGTCTCGTATCCTGTCATCTTGGCTTTTCTGTTTATCTGCGTTTGTGGCTCGCCTCGTCGCCTTCTGGCGCTAATTTAATTAAGCCTCATAGACAAAGACTGAAGGAAGGAAAGGACAGCAAAACAGACAGCAATATGTGTCAGTGCAATGTGTTGTAAATCTTTTCAAGTGACTCCCCGCTCCTGTCTTCGAGACAATAAACAAATATAAAATATCATTTGGCTTTCGCTTTTTATCGCCATGCCATAAAACACAAGCACTTGGCCACGTTGCGCATACGCCACGTTGGACCGCACAAGGGCTGCATTTCATTTAATTTTACGCCTGCCGCTCGGCAAACATAATTTGATTGATGCGCCCGCGGCTTACATGTGTAAGCCAGAAATAAACTGATAAATTGACTTATTACAACTTAATTCGACTGACATGGTGAATTTTTCAGTTTTGTGTACTGTGTGTGCCTTTTTCGGGGGAAATGTATGTATATATACTTGTTTGTGCTGGAGAAGGAAAATTTATGCCCAGGTAAAATGTTTTCCAGAGGGCAGAGCATTTCATTAATATTAATTGACCAATTCAGAGGGACAGTAACAAAGAACAATTGAGTCACGAAAATGAGGCATAATAAAGAGGCCAAAACAGCCAGTTAGAGCCTGGTCGTATTTATAACATTTTTTCGTAAACGGTGACACCGAGCACCGCAGACAAATGAACCCAAATAAATAAAAATAAATATTTAAATAGCCAAGCCTTTTAAAAACAGGGAATCCACTTAACTTAGTTTCGAAGAGTTCAGACGAAAGGCAAATTATTTTGCGTGAATGGCATAATTAAAAGGACGCTAATAGAGATCGCACGAACCGTCGTCGAGCGATTAAAGTCCTGGGTAGTGGCTTAAAGCCGCTCCTTCTTAAGCTCTCTGAATTTCGTTATATTTTTTTGTGTCACTTTGAATGGAATTTGTGCCGCCATTGATAGCGACAGACAGCACAGCTGTGGCCATTTATGCGAGAACTGGGTCTGCATTAGTTTTTATATTTCAATTCCGTTCACCTTCCATTTGGCATTGCAAAAACTTATCAAAAGTCTGCTGTAGCTGCTGGTTCCTGTTTTGGCCAGCAATGTCACCGAGGTTTCAATGGACCAAGAGCCATTTTCAGTAGCGACAAAAAAACATTTATTTGATTTGTTCATACTCTTCTAAGAAAAATGGGTATTTGGACTTTGAATATAAGCTAAGAGGCGTTCGATTTTAATTCTTTAAGTTCCAAAAATGGCTTCGTTTTGGAAAAACAAAACAAAATTATATTAAAATTAGTTTAAACTTATTTTTATTGAGCAAGTTCCCTTGAAATAAGAGTATCAAAACTTCACCTTGCCTAACTCAACCTTGGATTCAATTGCTTCGTTATTATTTTCATGTTTTATTTTCATTTTTCATTGAATCGAATGGACGACGGCTTGTCAAGTTTTGTTTCGAAGTAATTGAATTTTTGCCCGCCCCTCTGGACGGGACCAAGCTCCCCGATAATTAAGTGAACGTGTCGTCCTGCCATGTCAGGACTCATAATGCACTCTACCGACGAGATGAGATGAGCAGTTCAGGTCGAATGGGCAGCTATTAGGCAGCAGGATAAAGGGCCCTTGAAGCTGCATTCAGCTGAATGGCAGGAAGTGCAAGGCTCCGGTCCCACTCCTGGCTCCGGACAGCATTAATCATGTGTCAGTGGCAGACAAAAGGACCCTTCCTCCTCCTCGTCCCCTCGATGGGGACGTCCATATTGGTTGTGATTTTTTGGCAAATTCCCACTCGAGGGAGGGATACGGCCGATGAAGTGTGTATGTGTCATCGGAAGAAAAGGGGGGTGGGGAGGGGTCAAATATCACTCATACGCACCGTCGGAAGGTCGCATTTCACACACATACGCACTGTGGGCGACAAGTTTTGGGCTGTCCACAGGCTGTCGGGGCATTTCATGCACAGTCGAGCGGCTGATAGGCAGTCCTCGCAATTTATGGCAGGCAATTTGTTTCCAATGGTGGTGTGGTATCGGGGTTGGAGGCGGAGTGAGGGGTTCCCCATTTGTCAGTGCCAGGCGGGGTGTTGGTTATGACAAGTGATGGCCCAGTGGATGCCCCGGTAATCTCAACTGTGCACCGAAAGACCAACCCAATCACAGGCCCTCGAAATATGCAAATATCCACTCTCTTGACAGATTGAAGCCGATTGAAGTGAGCTCCTAAGGGGAAAGGAAGAGCAAACAACAGATCCCGCATGAGTAACAGCGCCATGGTGGCCGTGGCCATTTGCTGCATTCTCGTCCTGCTGGCCGTCTTCATTGTGATCATCATAGTCGTCGGCCAGACGATCGAGGAGCCCAAGTGAGACATGCTCCAGCTGGGACCTGGCAACTTCCCAGATGGATAACAGAGGCCCCCCAACTGTTAGTTTGCCGGGGCCGCCAGCAAAAATCATCGCCACCTCATCATCCGCCAGCATCATCAACATATTTCGCCCCAGAGAAAATTAGCCCAGGAAACCCAGCGCGCAGGAGTAGAAGGAGCAGGAGGAGCGGAGTAAATGCGTCCCATCGTCAGTATCCATTGGCTGTGATGTGAAATTTTTAGAATTTGTGAAGCAAAAAAAACCAATCGAGAAATCAACCCAACAACACATAATTTCGGAACATTCCGCCTCCCGATAACAACAACAACACATACACATCGTCATGTAGCGCATTTCAGTGTGTGTTTGGTGTTGTCAATATATATAAAACATAAATGTATATAAATACAAGATATATATAGAGAGATATCTAGAGAGATATATATGTGTAACCCAACCGTCGTAACGTTGCGTTCTTTTTTATAAAAGTGTTGTTAACAAACCGATTTTTATTGATGTTTTATTGATGTTGAATACAACGTATATACATGCATATATATACCACAAGAATAGGTGGAATAAGTATACTTAAAATGTCCAGCGAGTGCCAAGGATCAAAAGGATAAGGATCGAGAAAAGGATCGGATGGAGCAGGACAATAGGGAATGCAACCGGAGAGCTCAATTGTTTAAATATATATTTATATATACCCTAAGATCATATCAAGTGGAAAGGATGCCAGCAATTGCACTTGTTAATTGCACAGCAGAGCAGCAAGGAGGCGATGTCCTGGAGCATAGATATAAATATAAATATAAATATATATACCTACAACATATATAGGAGATATGAATTATATAGCGGAGATATGCATTTTATATATCAAACAACTTTTGGATAAGTTTTACGTGTGCGTGTAACTAGAACTAGACAACTATGGAAATACTGAACAAAAAAATTCGACAACTTAATCCCTATTGCAACATTATGAATCCTGAATAAGCCATTGAATGTTATTTACCACAACCCAGACTCCAATTAAATCTCTTCAATGTAAAACGTACGTGCGCTATTTATAAATCGATAAAAAAAAACGAATTAAAATATAAAACCCGCGCCAATTCAACTCAATTTTAATCGTTGCAAATGCCAAAATCAGCAAACACAATATGCAACAAATGATCAACCATGCGCTGCATAAATTAATAAATTAATTAAATATAAACATCAACAACAATGGCCATTGTCGGAGCACAGACAAAGAGGTAAGCACATATATGCATTAAAGTACTTTCCCGGAACACTCTCACTCGCCACTCGATTTGCAGTTTCCATGGGGGAAAAAAGAGAAATGGCAATCAAATTCAATTTAAATACACAAGGACCTCCTCTCGAAGCTTAAAGCAGCCACAAATCGTGGCACCTGCTCCTGCGAGTGAGTGCGAAAGTGGGTAATAAAGTTTTATTGGTGCCTGTCAATTTGATTAAAATTGATATGCCCAGTTCGTAGTGACTAGTTTCTCCGGTGTCCAGGAACCGGAGTCGGAAACCTTGAAACCTTGGAGCCAAAAAAAATTTGGCCAAAAACCCAGGCTCCACAGTCTCCGGACAAAAGTGAGCTTGATGAATATTTCCATCTCAGTCCGCATCAAGTAATCATAAAGTGATGGAAATTCAATTTACACTGTATTAAATATGGCAAAATGGGTGCCCATCTTGAGGGTGGCAATTTATGCTGTTATATGTTTTTCCATGTTTGTGTTTGTGAGGTTTATTATTATGCAGATTAGACCAAGGCTCTACCTGTACCTTTACCTTTACCTCTTAGCTTCAGCTCTTACCTCACTCACTTGATTCCGGGCATTGAAAGCCAACGAGCGCCCGTGTGTCTGAGTGTGCATAAAAAGCTGCCCCCGAGCAGCTTGAACACGCCCCTCAATACCTTCGCCCTTCCTCATATGCAAATTACATTTCATTTTGAAATTTTGCTACCTTTTTGCCCTGCCAGAGAAAGGCACACACACACACTTTATGGCCATTCAATGCCTTGGCCAAATTGAAGCTGACAGCAAATGTCACGTTTTATGACTGCGTTTGCATATCAACAGTTTCATTGCACTGAGAAAATAATCCCTATTTAAGGGTGATTAAGAAATACGTAGCAGAAAATAAGACCAAGTATTACATTTTAGTTTTAGGCCTAGCAAAAGAGAGATATATTTTCCCCTGTTAATCCTAGGTTACTAATAATTTTTCTCTGTATATGGCAATGTGTTCCAAGTGTGTGTGTTAGCTGCATTCCGCTTGAGTGCTCACCTGACTCACCTCATCCACTCCCTCCCTCTTTCACTTAGTCAGCATTATGCAAATGGCCCGCTTCTTCCAATTTCAATTTGTTTGTTTATGAATTGCTAACACAGACAGACATTAATTGTCCAATTCCAGGGCAGGATTGTCAGGCATTGGTGGCCAGATTGGTGGGCGCGGAAGCGAATCTGAATCGGAATGCGAATCCAAATCCAGATCCGGCAGTGCGCAAAAGCAATTATCTGAAGGAAATTGCTCAATTAGAAAGTCCAAATCGAAAACCAAACTAAACACACACAGAAATGTGGAAAGGAAAAAGGGGAGAACCCTAGGGAGAATCAGATGCTTAAATAGACATACAAGTAGAGTAAAGTACACGGTAATAAAGATTAACTAAGACTTAAAATATGGCAAGACTGTCCTTTATAGTATTTTCTTTATATTGCCACTCGATTTACACATTCCTCTCATTTATCAGGAATGGTAAATTCCCCAAGCAAAACGATGATTTGAAAAATGAAAATGGCAATATAAAAATGTCATTTCTTCACCCAAACTTCTATGCAAGTTTGTCTCTTTTACTCTGTCCCTTTTTCCTGTCTCCTTTCCCTTTCTTCTCTCGATGATTGCGCATAAGTAAAACTAGGTTTTTTATTTTCCCCGACATTTGCATGATGATGAACGCTCCTCCACAATGGCAGGGCGATAGCTACAAGAATTGCAGTCAGCGATGTGTAAAGCGCAGATAGAAAATGTCCAGCCAATGTTGGCAATTGTCAGATACTGCTATATATTAGGAGGAAACGGAAGGGCGGAAAAAGTACTATAAACTGCTGCCTAATGACTCGAAGTTTAATGCAGTTTTGTGAAATGTGGCACAAACCAATTGGTTGGCCCTATTTTCGGGCCATGACACTCGCACAAGTCATGGAAAATAACGCTGAGTAAACTGTCAATTAATCAATTTAGGGCAAGTCCTCAGGTTGGCTGGGCCATCAATTTAATGTGGCCACGTTAAGAGCACGGAGCCCAGGATGTAACAAATGTTGGTGTTTTTAAAACCAAATTACATTCTACTTGGCCGGCGAGCCGTGGAAAATGATTCGACAAAACAAACGACGAACGGAGATTTGGCCCACGCACACATTGGGCATATTTTTCATTTGTAGCTCCTGTTCCTGATGTTTCTGCCAATGTTTTTTCGGGTTTTTGTTTTCTTCTGGGTTTTGTGTTCCTGCGCCGTGTCGTTACGCATTTTAATGCCGCCAACAAGTCGGGCCCAGATTTATGGCCATTTATTGAGCATAAGTGTTGGCAATTTATGAACACAGCCGCGCCAGTTAGCCATCCAGCCAGCCATCTAGCCAGTTCCCCCGCCCCAAAATGGCATTTTAATAAGCGACTAAGATCTAGGGGTTGAAATGAAGATTTATAAACCAGCCTTGAGCAATTTCAACTCCCAAAAGTCGCACACATGACGCTGCCACTAGTGTGTGCGCGGGTTCAGCATACCCATAAATCTTGGCCAGAATCTTGTTTGGTTTATTGAATTATCAGCGTATCAGCGGGCGGATGTGTATGAGTGTGTGTGTGTTGGGTGGAATGACATTGTCTGACATAAAACTAAGGGAAATACCAAACACGTGCGCCAGTCACAGGGCACTTATGTAAATACATTCTCCCTGCCCTTCCTCTCCCGGCACCATCTCGTATATTTATAGTTTTATTTGTCTAAGGTTGCTCTGCTGGAGTGGCATTAAAATTTGCCCCGCTTCGACTTATCTACATCTCGCGTATTTTGCTCATTTCCCCCCCTGTCATATACACAGGGGCACACGCATTTCCACTTAATTTTCCTGACTCATTTAAATAAATTTGTTTGGTTTCGGTTGCCCTTAAATATGCGGAACACGTTTTTGTGTAGAAATCTGTGGGGAAATAATTTTCTCTAGCATACTTTTTGGGGCCAAAAAACATTGACTTGCAATTATGAACATTTTGCTGTAAAATGTATTTATATTTATTTTTGTTGAACAGAAGTCCTAGAAGAGCGTTCGAAAATAAAGAAAGAAAGAATGAAAAACATTGAAAACCTCAGGACACAGCGACACAGAAGCCCATAAAGTGCTGCAACGAACAACAAATTAAAACTTTAAGCTTCGTGGCCCCGCAAAGGGAATAATTTCAATGTCTAAAATCTTAACATTGACAGCAGATGCTGCAGAAAAGGGGCACTAGATCAGGGTTACAACCAAGCCCAGTGCAGGCCACTTCAGCGGCAACACCGAGTGCATTTCCCACGTCCTCCGCATCCTTGCCAGCGATGTGCACTTGGCATCAATCAATAATTGCCCATTGAAGGCAGCTGCTGGAAGAGCATTCGCTGGCAACTCACTAAGCTGAGAAAAAATATAATCAAATCAGTTGAACAGCGGAAAAATACTAATATTTATCACAAAGTAATATCTCTTTATGAATTTGCAAAACTCCCTTTTTGAGGGATTAAAAAAGATGTTAAAATAGATTTAGATTTAAAAAATATACCAAAAGTTAGGAGCTACAAGTAGAAACTATAACACATGATTGTTTTAGGAAGTTTATCTATTAGACAAGTCAGAAGTCTATAGACTTTTTCCCCTAGTGTTATCCTTTGCCCTGTCATGATTGATTAGCACCATGCAACACGAGGTGCTTCAGCAGAAACCCGACCAGACAGCATAATATGACGCTTACCGAGTCCTTTGGTCCTTTGGCCGCCTTGCCATTTTCTCGTTCCTTTCTTTTCCGTGCCACGGCCACTATGGAACTGGCCTGTTAATGATATTGCATTGTATCTTTGGAATCGCCACTGCAGGCCAGGACACTGAAGGATGCTCGAGTGGCTGTCGGTGTTCTTATCCGCACCCCTCGATCTCTTTGACTGTCTTCCATTATGTCAATTTTCCTCCATTTTCCTGCCACCAGGCCACCATTTAATTGCAGGCACTACTATTAACCCCACTGTCATTGGAGGCGTCTTCGAAAGGAAATACATTTAATTCATATTGACTCTCTCCTCTTCTCTGTTTCGTTGCAGGTACGTTCACAAGAGTCAATCAAAAGCGTGAGTAGCTGCTGCCACAGCCAATTTTCTTTTTTGCCACTTATCGATAAAAGTTTAAAAGTTCAGAGTTGAAGCGGCGCCTCAATTGCAGTTAGCGAGCTAAGTAAAAAGCATAAATAAATGTAGAAGAGCAATTTGGGGGCCAAAAGAGATTTCAAATGCAATATATAAAGTTGGAAGCTTTTTGGCTTTTGGACCCACAGAAAGTTGGACTAACTTTTCGTCCGCAGAGTGTCTCTTTCCCTTGGTGACCCCTGTGGCGTATGCGTGATATTAATTATAAATTTAACACACTCGGGTCGGCCAGGCAGAAAGGCAGGAGCTATTAATGAACCATAAGATAAGCACTTGAATTTAATCGCCGTGCTAATTGCCAATAAATTAGGATCAATTTACCTGATAGCCCACACAAATATGCACTTAAGACCCTGCAACATAATATGCATAATTATTATGCCCACCCACCTTGAAATCCGTAACCGTAACCCGAATCCATGCCAGAACACCAGCTTGGCTGGCATCTGTGTTTGAGATGCTTATCCATTGCCATAGAGGCTCATCACCTGCCTGCTTCCTCTTCGTCTTAATCAACGCATTTTATCGCCATGATTTTATTTTTCGGGCCAGAATAAACTATTAGGAAAACTCATTTTCATGAAAATCCACTTTAATTGCTGTTACGGTTACGCCACCGTTGTTTTTGCTGTTGGTGCGCTGCGCTGGTATTGCCATTGGCCCATCTGGGGATGTGGTTAAAGCAGTGAGATATAATACACTGAAGGGAATTAAGGGTTACGATTTTTTACTGTTTTACCTTTAAAAATACTTAAAATTAGTACCAAACGTGAACTAGATTTTCTCAAATAATAACATATATCCTAGAGAATTTTATGCACAAATTCGTAATCATTCTTCGTGTTTAATAAATCTTTGACGATTAAGAGATTAGTTATCTCAGCATATTTGATCAATTTGTTACTGATAAAAGAAGATAGAATATTTCACCGGATTTAATTTCTTTATTACACATACTTTTCCCTCAGTGAAATCAATGCTTTTTCTGGCTATATCACAGCGGCATGCCAGGCACCAATAAAACAACATAGGGCGCTCCGCCGTCTCTGGTTTTCGCCTGGCATTCGGGAAACGGTGTTACTTGTAAATTTAACGCAAATTGTCTGTAACATGAGCTCCTCCACAAAAGGTGTCAGAGGGTATTTCGCGGCGGGGAGTGGAATTGGTGAATGGTCCTGTGGTTGGGATTGGGTTCGGGCTTGGGCGAAGAAGGTGTCTTGAGGGGCGGCAGTGTAAGTGCCAACAGCAGTGGCAGCCATTAAATTTTCAAGAAGTGTGTGTACTCGACAAGGAAACCCAGGCAGACAGCAACGGGGGGCAGCTGGAGAAGGAGAAGGTGGAGGGGCAGGATCTGGGCCATGGACAGACAGGGCCACTAAAGATTATATGAGCGAATGGGCGACAATAGTGTCGCAATGAAATGAATGAAGGTTTGATTTGAATGCTTCAACACATGACTCTCGTTACTATTATAGTTTTCTCATAACCGAAAACTTTTCCCAAACTCACTCTCATCAAAGTTAAGCTCAAGGACTTAAAGTTTATTTTGCCAGAGTTTATGAGTAAGTGAAAATGTGCAGCTTATATAGAAAGATATTGAAAGATAAATTTGGCTTAGCAGCACTTAAAGAAATTTGTATGAGACAAGAGTTTAATTATTAAAATATTAAATATTAAATTAACTTTGTAGTTGAAGCGCCTAAAAACCTCTGAAGGTTTAGAGCGATTATTTAGATATTTGACCCCTTTTTCTAAAAGTGTATAAATAGCTTACGAGTGTGAATTTCTGTTTATGAATTATTAAATTCCACACAATCCAGGATAAATTCCCCTTCGCTTGATTGTCGCCTGGCAGGACTCAGTTTGTGTGTGTGTGTGGGAGCTGTGGTTATTAGTGGTATTACGTGCCTCCTGGGGAAACAGTTCCGTCATCGACATCATTATGCATCTCGGTTTCAGTTTCGGTCGGGGAGCATTTAGTGATACGCATCCTTCGGGCGTCATTTGAGCTCAAGGATCCCAAGGATGCGGCTGCTGGCTGCTGGCTGCCTTGGCAATTACACCTGTTCGCAGAACGGTAAATATATTTAGCAGACAACTTGTTTGCACAGCGGAATGGCTGCCATTTAGCAGCTTTTCATTGCTTCAGTTAGTTTTTACGGCTCGCAATTAAAATCTGTATTGTTCGAGCAAGCTGCTGTGGCATTGAAACTGAGGTGCGGCCAACAAAAGGTGTAAATTAACATAATGACAGACAGAGTGCGAGTGGGCGGTGGCAGGGAAACAAATGCCAGAGCAAAACACAACGGCAAAGCGCACCGCGCACTCGCGGAACCCAACAAAAATATTTATGGCAATGCAAATGGCGTCTGCATAAAATTTATTGACACTTTACTGCGCATTGTCATTGCGGTGGCCCAGCGCAGGGGGGCGGTGCAGGTGCAGCATCCGTTTGCCAGCATTTTTGTGCTGCGGTTGACATTGTTACGCCCACCTTCAGGGCCACACCCCCCTCCCTTAAAGCGTTTTTGCACCCAATACACGAGTGGGTTACAAGGGTATTATCGTACACCAGGGAATTTGTGTAGCATAATTGCAGGCAGTATATCAGGCTTTATAATATATAATTCCTAAAAGTTCATTAAGAGGTTTATTCCTACTTTTTGAATGAAGAATTCATTTGCTTAAATTTATTAAACATTCAATACTTAATATGTTATAGAGGGACTTACTTTATGACTTTTAATGAATATTTACCCAGGCAAAATATCAAACAAAATATTGAACACATCATAAAGTTTGCATTTATATTTCCAACAATGATTGTTTGTAGTAAGTTTTGAAACAGCCTGATATGTGGTTATTTTCTAAGCTTTCTTTAAATCAGAGTATTCAGTAGTCGGTTTAAAATAACTTTGTTCTCCCTTTTTTATACTATATCTCTTTGAGCAGATGCACGCAACGTGAGGTGTGTGTTGTGTGCACTCAAGTTCGAGTGTGTGTGTGTGTGGGTGGGTGTGTTTCGCACAAATCCGCTCTCATTTTAATGAGCAAACTTTGTGCTTGTGCACCATTTATTTGCTGTTTAGTAAACTGCATTTGAGATAAAATGTCGCCGTGTGCGTGGTCCCGGGGTTTTTCGAAAATTAATTTAAAATACCGCCCAAACGACACCCGCGGGGGGATAATCGCCCTGATCGCTTGCCTAAAGGGATTCTATTTGGTTGCGTGAATAATTAAGTGGAAATTATGTAAACGGCTTAGTTGGGGCTTTAGTTTACAGAGTGTTGACATGGAATTTTGGTGGCAACATCGCAAAATCAATAGACAGCAAACCGTTTATCCAGTCGATAGTGGTGAGGAGGCATGCCATTATTTATCGTCGAGCCCCCCCTGGCCCCCTGGGCTCTTTTTGGGTTTTCCCCAGAACTGCGAATTTGATTTCCGCCCCCCAAAACTACTCTGCCAGAGACCGCAGCAGCTGCAGCTGAGCAACCCACAAAAGCCAACACAAAGCGTACCCTAGACCGACCTTTCCTCCGACCCCGGAACATCAAACACATCTCTCGGCCAAGCTCATTTATTATGTGTTCTGTTTCGAAACGAATTTAATTAGAAGCGGAGCCCGCAAGGCGTCGGTTAATGTTCAACCGAAGCGGCAGCCAGTTATGTGTAATTCACGGCGGTTACTTCTGGGGAACTGTGGGGATCAATCATTTACATATCCTTAAGGAAGATGTCATTTGAATTTAAAGCAGGAAATCTGATTTATTTAATTTGCTTGTGAGCTGTTTAATAATTCAATAACTCAGGGGGGCGGGCAGGAATTTTTCTTCAGGGATGTTTACAAGGTTTTTGATTTTGATTGTTACAAAGGAGTTTAATCGGAAGCTGTGTGGGGAAAATCAAATCAAAAGCTTAAAGGCTTACAAATTTATATATAGTGATACTGTATCGATATTTAAAGAGCTATAAGTTGAGATATACGTATAAAAGCTTAATATTTATATGTTTAATAGTTCAATATTTCGTAATATATTTTAAATTTCGATATAAATCCTACTGGCTGGTGACTTTCTCGCTGCGCTGAATAATTTCCGCTATCTTTGGGGCACTCACACCTACACACACACCCCACACACACACCCACGGCAGATATTGCGTATACGAGTACACAAATTTCCTCTTGGAGGTGCACTATCAGCAGCGGTTATCCGAGTCCCCCAGCTGGATGGATAGATAGATAACATGGCGAAGCGTGCGAGCTGCTGGCAGGCAAACAAATAGACAAACAGATGGACAGGCGGACAGACGGACAGACGGACTGACAGCTGTCATAAAGTCGGGAAGCGCATTTCCATGTTGGGTGTCAAGTGAGGAGGGAACAGCATCCGCATTCCATGCTAAATCAAAATCATTAACACTGTGTATTTGTCTACCTTCCCAACCCCCCCTTGAACCCCCTTCCCTGGCTAAACACACCACCTCCTCCTCTCTCCCCCTCTGCGGTACAAAGGTGGCGCTCATCTAAAGTCGAACGGCGCTGACGGCGAGCCTTGGATGCAGCCGGTGGTGGCCTATTTGGAGGTGTCGTCGCGTCCCACCAAATCGCCAAGTAGGTGGCGCCATCTCACTCTCTCTGTCTCTCTTTCGCCCTCTCTCTCACACACCCACACACACTCACACACAGTTTTACTACCCCGCTCTTGATGTGTGTGTGTGTGTGGGCCATGTGTGTTTGCCGTTTTTTGGTGTGTGCGTGGGCCCGTAGTTGTAACAGTTACGTTTCAATGTCCACCCGTAGTTGAAGTTGCCATAGTTGACCAACCAAAAACGCTTCTAGTTGTACACCACACACATAGTTCAATTGCCAGAAAACCAAGACCACTGCCACGCAGAGAAAAGATCATAAAGTCATAAGACCACCTTAAATTCCTGTCCCATCTTAGCTATTTTCAGATGTGTATAATGTTCTGAAGAAAAGTTAAATCTAGATATGATAAATAATAAATATTGATATATATATTATCTGAATTACGAATATGCTTTGGAGAAGTGATTGTCACATTTAGTGTATATGTAAATATAGATTCAATTCTTATATTTATACCCTTGCAAGAGTATTATACTTTTAGTCAGAAGCTTGTTTCGCAGTGAAGGAGTCATTTCCGACCCCATAAATCATATATATTCTTGATCAGCATCAACAGACGAATCTTTTTAGCAATGTCCGAGGAAATTTTATTTTTTTTCAAAATTTTCACAATTTTATAAGGGGTTACATCATGAAAATTGTCAAAAATTGGCAAAAATGTTGATTTTTCAAAATTGTAAGTTGAGTATGCAGATTTATTAACCTTATAAAAACTAGCATAGGAATGGTTTCCGATTTGAAATTAATGAATTTTTGGCTTAGTTATGAGTTTTTAAACTTTGAGTCGTCGAACCAAATATCGTTATTCAAATATGTATAAATATCATTTAAAGAATGCGATATGATTGATTTCCGATTCCATCCTATTATTCATATTCAAAGTGCAAGGGTATATAAACGTCAGCTTTCCAAAGCTCTTTTCCTTTCTTGTGATAATTACAAATCGGTGGCAATTCATTATGATATTTTTCTCTGTCTCCTCACACACACAAATATAAACATTCTACACAACAACAACAACCAACTCTGAAATGCCATGTTAAGAGCTCTTGTTGCGATGCTACGTTCTGTGTATGTGTTCTGTATTGTTGTGTGTGTCTATGTCTAACCCATAAGTTAACCGGAAGTAAGATCACTAAGCTCACCGGAAACGCTGCCGTTGGCGCCGCTCTCTTTCCATCTCTCTCTCTTCCTCAACAGAGTGTGATCAGACATTTGTGTCGCGGATCGGCGGTCCCCAGAATGGCAGTTTCTCGGCCCCGCTATTGCACAACCATCGCAATCATTCACGCCAATGCCTCTACACCTTCCTAGCAGGACCTGGACAGCGCGTCGAAGTAGTTTTTAAATCGTTTAATTTAAGAGGAAGTCCGCCAGAGTGAGTATATATATTGGAGGCTGTACGAAAAGGTAGACGAAATGCTAATTTTGTTCCGTTTTTGTATTCTACCTTGCAGCGGTTCGGCCGTCGGTGAATTACCAAGGTAAATATTCAGAAATTTGCATGAGAATGAATAAAATTAACTTTTTCTTTACCCTCTACAGTTGTGTTCATGAGTATATGGATATCTACTCGGAGGTGCAGTCGTCGGAACCGGCGGAACTGATCAATTCGCCATTCGGTGGCCGCTACTGTGGCACCATTCCGCCTCGTCGTCGTATTTCCATGTACCGGGCAGTTGCGATTTCGTTTTTTAGTAACAAAAACGTGACCACGGACCTCTTCGAGGGCACGTTTAGGTTTATAAATGCATGTGAGTACAGATACAGCCTTTAAATTATATAGCAAATTTTTCCTTGACCTTTGTTATTTATCTTCAAAAAGCGGAATATGAAATCGGCATTCCCATTGCGGGTTCGCCATGTTCCTACACGATAACGCCAAGCATGAGCGTCAACAAAACTGGTGCGCTCATATCGCCAACCTATCCAGGTGCCTATCCGAAGGATATGTCATGCACATATCAATTTCTTGGTGAATCGAATCAGAGAGTTAGATTAGAGTTTCGCGATTTTGATCTGTTTTTTGGTGGACCACAGTGAGTACCTCTAATGCTGCACAATTAAGAAATACACAAACATACACACGCCATAATGAGTCAAGATCAGAGCAAGTCCTGGCCTGATCCTGGGACTTGCTCTGTTTAGCAGCAGACACACACACTAAACCGGAAACACACCTAATCTTTGGCCTATCTAAAACAAAAATTCTTCTCTATCCCGTCTCCCAACTGCTATTCCATCTGCAATATTATCAACAACAAAATTTCAACAATCAACACAATAACAACAATTATAAAAAATACTATAAACAGCTGCCCATTTGACTATGTGAAAGTGTACGATGGTCCAGATAATTCGTCAGCATTAATCGGTACATATTGCGGACAGCAAAGAAACTTAGTTTTGTATTCGAGCGAGTCGAGCCTTTTCGTTCATTTTTATACGTTACCGCGCACCGCAAATACCCAAAATCGTGGCTTTAAAGGAATTTATGAATTTAGCGAGAGTTTTGTTAAATTAGATTTTATACGTAAGTATTATCGTTACTCAATACCAATTGTTTGTCGTTTCAGTTCTGCCAATTTGTTGTATTTTGGTGTCCTCGAAGGCGGTCTATTGCCTACTTTCGAGGGCATCAAAATAGTAGCATTTATGTGCTAATTGTATGTGCTTGTACCCACCTATTCACTGGCTTTGTTTGAGTTTTGATGCCATTTTTATTTCAATTGAACCCTTTTCCCTCTTTCGACACAAAAATTCTAACCTTTCACAATTTCTCTCTATAAAAATAAAAACAAAAACTATCTCTGCGATCTAACTGGTGACCTCTGCTAAATACTACAATCTGGCTATGATCTGACCTCTTGAAATTTCCTAAAATCTTTACAATAAAAATGCCAACATCAGGTGAAAATGATGGCATTCACATACGTGGCTCTGAATGTGATCAAAAGATTTTATCGAAGAAGGAATCCACTGGCTTTGTGCTCTCACCCAACTATCCCTATCCCTATATACCAAAAACTGTGTGTAGGTGAGTGTGAAATAATTCAAAATTTAATTACGAAAAAGAATGTATCTTAATGTACGTGAATCTCCTTTAGATATTTCATCTATGGCATGCAGGATGCCCAGCATCTGGAGCGTGTACGCCTCGAGTTTAACGCTTTCAATATTCCCAAGGTGGAGCACAAGGACAAGAGCGAGTAAGATTTATAAATGCTTATACTTTTTAAACTTTGTTGGATATAATATTGGTAATCCCTTCTCCTCTAAGGTCCAACTGCACGGACGGCTATCTGAAGATCTATCTAAAGGGCCAGGAGACGGCAGATGCCTATGACAAGTTCGACTATGAGCTCTGTGGCAACGAGACGCAGCGCGTCATTAGCGAGGGACCCCGTTTGGCCATGGTCTTTAGTTCCGGTGAGCTTCAAGGTCGCGGCTTCAAGGGCAAGTACACCTTTGAGACGGAGTACAAGATCCCGGGTACGGCTGCGCCGGATGGTACCTGCAGCTTCACCTATGTGAGCAGCTCCAAGAAGCGAGGCGAACTAAACAGTCCACGGTATCCCTCCAATTACCCTTCGGATACGAACTGCTCGTACCTCTTCCTGGCCGAGGCCGATGAGCAGGTGACCATAGTGTTCGATCATTTCAAGATCAAGGCGGACAACAATGCGAATGCCACGGCAGGAGCTTATGGGTAATAATAATTCTTTATAACTTTTCCTTGAAGAACCTTTCCATATAACCAACTCGCTTCCCTTTCCAGTTCCGGTGCCTGCTTTGAGGACTGGCTGGAGATGTATGTCGTCTATCGGGACAACAATGACCGCCTGCTGGGCCGCTACTGCGGTCAGACAGCCCCCGGACCCGTCGAGAGCCCCCGGGGAGCGGTGGGGCTGCGCATCACTTTGCACACGGACCAGGAGAGCGTGGCCAGTGGGTTCAAGGCGCGCTACTTCTTCGAGTCGGCCAAATCGGATGCCGGCGACTGTGGCGGTAACTTCAGTAACCAGGACTCAGGACTAATCACCTCGCCCAACTGGCCGGCAGGCTACAAGGCGCCCGGACGGGGCATGGCATCCAATGCTTGCAACTGGGTGATGAAGGCACGTCCCGGCTACAAGCTGTCCATTCACTTTGAGCAGTTTGGCCTGGAAGGAGATCCAGCTAGTAAGGCACTGGAATGTTCATCCTAAACCATATTTATATGTGATGTACTCTCTAGATCGCGGCTGTCCTGCTGCTGTACTGCGGCTGTGGATGGATGTGGACTCCGACCAGCCGCCGTTGGAGCTGTGCGGCGAGAAGCCACCCGTGGAGCACTGGCACTACACCTCAACCGGTCAGACGGCGCGCATCAGCTTCACCACCAGTGACAAGACAGTGGGAGCCCAGGTGAGCTTGGCAACCCCTCCTCCTACAGGTGGGAAGGATTTGTAAACTATTTGTTTTCTCAGGGCTTCCGCATCGTGTGGACCGAGATACAGGACTCGGGCCCGGGACCGCCGTCCGTGGGACTCCACTGCGAGTCCACGTATCACTTTCAGTGCGGCGCCGGATACTGCATCTCCGACAAGCTGCGCTGCGACGGCGTCAAGAACTGCGGGCCCGGCGACGACACTGACGAATTGCACTGTGAGTCGTGAGTGAGTCGAACGGTTCAGTTCAATTTTTTATTTGCTTTTCTTCGCCTAAGTTTAAGTAACTTAATTTTACTCTTACGTTTTGTTTCGTGTTTGTGTTTCCAGTGCGTCCATGGGGGCCAATATATGGTTTCCAATTTCATTTAACTCGGTTTGGTACCTCATCTAATTATGATTCTGTTCCTTACACTTTTCATTTTGATGCGTAAAGAAAACTTGAACCCGACGAAACACTTGCAAAGCGTTAACCACTAAATATATAGCAACTAAAATAATCCATACTAACCTAAATACCAGCTAAAGGCCCAGCCGAAGCTATCCTGTATTTATTCTCTAAGTCTTCTTGCACCTAAGTATTCGTGTTTTTGAACTCTAACTACATTTTACTAGCTGTTTTGTGTTTTGGCCAGAGACCATTTGTACATACATTCTGAGCTCAGATCCCCCAAAAAAAAACCCCCTTCATTAGGTCCCCCACCATTCACCTGACTTTTCTCACCTTGAATGGCATACAATACACTCAGTAATACAGACCAGGGATTGTGGATCGACAAGTTGAGAAGGCCGATATATAAATCTATTTTTTGCAGTTACGATATATATTCTGTTGCCTAAATATATATCGAGCCTATCTAAAATATTGCTGTCTATATCGGTCTTTTCTTCTCTCTCTCGATATACATCCCAAATACAGACACTCTATCAGACTTCCCGATCATGTCACACCCGGTGATTCTACACTAAGCTCATCTTTCTCTATTTCTCTCTCTCTCTCTACTTGTCTAATTCTCCCTCTATTTCTCTCTGTTCTTTCTTTTGTCTCCACTAACAAAAACCAACTACAAACTGTGAAACTATTTTATAAACAAAATAAACCCTTCCTCGAATCTGAACTTAAACCCCAAACCTTTGGCACAGGTGACGCAAGGTCCACGCATTTGCCCACATTTCTACAGACATTTGTTTTAGCAATTACGGCATTAGTATTAAATACTTACAACTAAAACTAAAACTTAAAAAAAAAAACCAAATGAAAACTGAAAAATCAAAATTTTTAAATCGGAATTGGAATTGCCACGAGAATCAAAAGCGAGCAACATTATTAAGAGAACATATTAACATAAATGAAACATTCTGATAGCGCGCAAATTCGTACTCACTTTTCTAACAACAAGCAAAGCGACAAAATAAAACAAAAAACTAAATAAAAAACAAAAGAATATTAACTCTTATACATAAGTAAAGAAACTGTTTGGTCACAATTAACACGTGAGTTCTGCATAAGCTTGTCTACAATCGTTCCACACTCCACGCCACGCTCATGACATGCACAGAGTTCAATCCAGAGATAGATTCAATCACACTCGAACATAATCTTAATCTAGAACCGAGGGATCTATATGTATACCCCGATATTGAATCGTGAGAAGGTCGAAATTGATCATTTCCGATGTGCGATAAATCTATTTACCAAACTATACCATATTTTCGGTATTGATATATTGATATTGATCATATCGGACTTATCCACTCGATATACATCCCTGCTCGAACCCCCTTGAACCCCAGTAGATGTCCTGACCAGCAGAAGTTCACTGTTCACACTCGAACATACTCATACTCGAACATACCCCTTGTTTCTCTTCAGTTGCAGCTTTGAGTTCATTTCGATCGCATTGTAAGAGTTGTTGAGTTGACGAGCATGCAAAAGTTATTGGGTTTGTTTTTTGGTTCTGGCTTCTTTAAGTTCTGCACCCTTCCCCAAACCACTTGTCATGTGCACCGCACGTAGTCCATTTGTTTATACCTTCCTGGTGCCGCCGCTGATAAACTGAACTGAATATATATATATATTAAACCGTCTAACCCTAAATCTATTGCTAATTATAAACGTGTGAAGCCTAGGTTAACAGCCGACACCACAGCACTCAAAACAAGAACATCAAGTTCATGACACACCCAAGACTCTCTCGGATAAGTTTCTCCAGAGATCTACACACACATGCCCAACTGTTTTCCATCCAATTACTAAAGATTCGTGTTTAATCTTTATTATTCACTAACGAATCCACCATTTCTATGCTCTTGCCTTTTCCCCCCACAACGCTTACATTCCTGCAGGTACCACGGAAGCGGCCGAGGAGGACTACGACGTTCTAATAATTATAACACTTCTCGTCGCCTCGTCCCTAATCTGTCTCCTATGCATACTCTGTCACTCCAGAAGAAACCGTAGGAACCATGTCCGCCAGTTGGGCCTACATCGCAATGCACATTACGATTCGCAGACGAGTGCCACAGGTGAGTTCTCCACAGGATATAGAAATACAATCAAATATTTAATCTAACTATATTATTGCATTATGATTTCTTCAGGTTTTCTTTGAGTTTGGTTTTATTTACATTATTTCAAGGTAATTTTGTATGTTCTCCTTACGTTTTCCTTTCTTTCCTTAAAAAAATGAATAAATTAAATGTTATACTTCAGAAAGTAATGCATACTATTGCCCCCTTAGTGGGGTACAATTGTTATACCCATGCAGGGTATTAAACTTTTAGTCAGAAGCTTGTTACGAAGTGAAGGAGTCAATTCCGACGCTATAAATCATATATATTATTGATCAGCATCAACAGCTGAATCGATCTAGCCATATCTGGTTGAAAAAAAATTTGAATTTTTTTTTTTTTCAATTTTTTGACATTTTTGTAAGGGGTTACATCATTAAAATTGTCAAAAATTGGACATTTTTAAAATTTTTTAAAACTTTAAATTGAGTATAAAGATTTATTACCATAAAAAAAACTAGCATAGGAATGGTTACCGAATCGAAATTAATGCATTTTTGGCTTAGTAATGAGTTTTTTAACCTTTGCTTTTTCGACAAGAATTCCATACAAAAAGGTCTATTAAAAATGTTAAAAGAATACAAATATTTTAAGCTTCAATATGATTGATTTCCTATTTAATGCTTTTAATCAATTGCAAACTGCATGGGTATATAAACTTCGGCTTTCCAAAGATAGTTTCTTTTCTCTGTTTAACTACGAAATAAAATAATACCACTTTTTTTCAAACAGCAGGTCTCAGCTCCAGTCGCCGGCATCTGCAGAGCGGCGGTGCCAGCATCGCGGGCAGCTTGCATGGGATCAACAGCGGCAACCTGATCATACCGCCCGCTCCCCTGCCGCCCACCAGTGTGCCGCCGCCGCCACACATCTGCATTGCCGGCGTGGACATGGGCCATGGACTGATGAGCGGGGAGGACGACGACGAGGACGACCTGGAGCTGGACGAGGACCAGCTGGCCGCGGACATTTTCATCAACGATGTGCATTTCGATGAAGATAATATCGACCATGTCAACCAAATGGCGAACGTCTAACGATGGTTCGGCGGAAGTGGAGTCTTAGGCACTTTTATCGCAACCTTCAGTTTCGGTTTTAAAACGCATTTAGAATAAGGCTACAAATAGGAAATGGCGAACAAAGCAACTTTGCAGAGCAAGAGTAGTAGTTTACACAGGATACACAGGCTCATACAGCGACACAGAAGAGGAATCAGCAGCAGGAGGAGAACCGGAAACGGAAACAGAAACAGAAATTCAAAAGTTAACAATACCTAAAAGACAAGAAATTATGCAAAAATGCGAATTGATTAAGACATAATTATAATGGCGATCAAAGCGGGGCGCGATTAGTAGGAATTATAGAAGAAAAGGAGCGCCAGCGACGCTATAAAAGTAAAGTAGGGTGCGCATATTGTAGTTGCGATAACACGATTAGCCAGATGCGTTTCACATAAGTAAGGAAAGTAAAGGAAGGCGGGACGGGGAGAATAAGCAACAAATAATAGCTACATTTAATTAACTATATTATACACATAGCGCAACACGTATGGCGAAGAGTGGGAGGAATATGTAGAAAGCAGGGAGAAGGGGAAGCGGAAATGGGCAAGATAGAACAAGGCGGAAGTGCAGGAACGAATCATTTTCACAGCCACAGGAGTCGACCGCAGACAGGACGAAGAAGAAATAAAATAATGTTGTTGATTTTTATATTTGATACGAGTAATATTTAGGTGAAGCATAAATTGAATTAATTATACAAACAGGAGAATCGAAGAGCGTAAGCGTAAATAAAACAATACTCACACAAATTCGCAAACCGATAGATAAACTGATAACGAATAACGGCAGCAACATACTAAAGGGCATAAAACAATAATGATTAACTACCTATACATACGCGCATGACTTTTTATTTATACATTTTGTACAAAAAAACAAAATTAAAAGAATAATCTTCGACCCTTGAAGCTACACAAATCAAACATACAACAACAAAGAGGAGAAGTTGAAGATGAAATAATGCATAAATAAAAGAATTAGTGACTATCAAAACTGTATCTTCCAGCAAAGAATAAAAGCAAAGAGTTAAATTACGCTAAATCGATTGAGAGGGAGTTTATATGAGAGTAAAAGAGGAAATTTAATAAACATTAGCGGCCCGCAGATGGAAAATGAAATGAAAAGCGATAGAGACATGGAAAGAAAATAAATTCAAAGATTTTTGTCTATTTAAGCACATTTTTATAAACATTTAAGGCGAACAAGAATATTTATAAAAATGTATACGCTAAAGGGAACGATAATAATAAAGTAAATTATACAAGAAGCTAAACAAAAGAGATCTAAAAACACAAGGAAACCAAATATTTAATTCCCTTTAAGTTTGTGGATGATATATTTTACGTTTAGCGTTATTTTATCGACATTATACATATGCAAAACCCATTGTGAATTTAATAACAATTTTAGTTCATATCAGTTTTCTCCTTTTTGGAGTCGAATGATGATAAATTCCCTGAAATTTCGTCTAATAAATAATAATTATTGGTTTCATAGCGCACGTACGTTTTGCAAAGAAAACAAATTGAGAAAAATTAAATAATATGGCTTAAATCAGCGATGGAAACTTAAACCCGTTTAACGTAAAAACCCCATTTATAAAAAAACGTATGTAGGTGTTACAAAAAATGCTACATTAATGAAATAAAATAAAAGAAAAAATAAAAATTGATATATAAAAAAACTAAAAAAAAATAAAGTAAATAAATACAATTACATTGAAGAAGTAAAACGTTGTTAAATTGTTGCATAAAAAAGCATAATGATCAAGTAATTCCTAAGAATTAATTCATGAAAATAAACCTTAGTTTAAGTGTACAAATTTTGTTGTTGTATTACATTAAAACCGAAAAACGAATTCAATTAGTTAATAATAAAAAAGAAAACTCTGAATTTGTGTTCTAGCAATAAAAATTAAACATAAATTTAAAGAAAAATAGTACTAAAGCCTAAAGCAAATAAAATGTTTGAGAAGTAAAGTCCCCAGAAAGAAAAGAAACCTGCCCCAAAAACCCAAATGTTCTTAACTAAAAAGAAAACGTTTACTAAAGTAACACAAGGTTAAATTAAAACACCCCCAAAAAGAGCAAATGTTAAAATTACAATTAAACCTATAAATAAGCCACGCAACGGAGAGTCAAACACATATTTGAATTGAGAAAGGAGACGTTTTTCAAAACCAAATCCATTAACAAAAGCCAGAAAAACCAAATTATTGGCAAATAAAGAAATATGTCGGCGAGCGATAAAGAGAATCCGAATAACAAAATAGTTGAATAATAAAATGCAGAACAGCAAATTTCAAATTAAAAGGAAACACCTACAAAAACAATTCCATGTTAACATTAAATATAAATAAAGGTAATTAAATAAATGAATACTAAAACCAATTTAATGAATGATTTTTAAATCGAATGCTAAAACCAGCGAGTAATTAAAACTTATACTTTATATATTTTTGTGTTTTAAATTTAATGTTTATTGTTTAATTGTGATTTATGCAATTTATATGGGGCAGCTGAAGATGGGATAATTTATAATATACTTCGCAAAAAAAATATTTAATGCCATCGATGTTTATCTAATTACATTGGAAATATTTTTTTCGGTTATAATGATATTTTAATGTTAAATGCTGTCTGTTCCCATTTTACATATATATAGTTATAAAACGTAATATTTTCGATATGTTACATCCCTAGTTCTGCGTATTTATACGAAACTTCTCCAGCATCTTGTTTATGGCTTCCTCGTCGCCGCCTATCTTTGCCTTTTCCTGCTGCAGAATCTCCTGGAAAGTCTTCTGCTTCGTTCCTACCAAGTAGAAATCATCATCAGAAATGGTCACTTGTCCATCCACGTTTGAGGTACACCCCTCGTAGATGTCCAGGGCTTTGAAATCAAAGACTGCGATAAGACGATAAGCCTTAACTTATCCAAAATAGGGGACCAGCACCGCACTCACCCATGCTCTTAATGAGATTGCCATCCGAGTCGGTAAAATTAAACTGAAAAGTATTGACCACGGTCCGCCGAGAAGGATCGGATTCCTTCAACTTGTTCCGGATTTTCTCAATGATCTCGTCGCTCTTCATGCTGGCAAGTGAACCGGCTGAGTGTCGTTGCTCGACTAATTTAAGCGCTGAGCCCCAGCAATTGAGGCAAACTCTGCGGATTAGCGCTTTGCATAATTTTTAATTAAAGTCAATTTGTTTTATATAGAGAGACATGATTGAAGATATTGATGGGGCTATGGCTGGGGGCTTGAGAAAATACAAAACCGTAACTACTTTCGGGGGCAGTAGGTATATTTTGGTGGTTAAACTAAAACTAGGAGTAAAAGTCAATTGCTTATATAATTTAGGGCTTCCAAATCTTCAGCAGGCCATCCTCGCTGTAGCTGGCCAGCAAATTCTGGTGCGGATGATGCGTCAGACCAATGACGTCCTTTTCATGAACCTACGGAAAAATTAACATAAACAAACAATTCCAAAAGCCCTTCGGTAAATTCCCAACTCACATTCAAAGTACGTTCCAGTTTTCCCGATGAGACGGAGAAGCAGTAGAGTACCTGATCCTCACCAGCGCAGTAGATGAACTCGCCGCGGGGCGAAAGAGTGGCCGAGATAAAGGAGCCGCCCTCTCTTTTACCCGACGAGAAGGATCGTACAATCTGTCCCTGCATGTTCATAATGACCACCGTATTGGATCTATTGCAGACGATAAAGTGCTCTGGATTCTTGGGCAATATAAGGACGGTGTTAACGGCCAGTTCGTTGCCCAAAGGCTTGTAAGTGGCCACACACTCGGTTGTCTTCAGGGACCACACTTTTACAGTTCCATCAGAGGAGGCGCTGAGCACGCTGTGGCCATCGGGAGTGAAGGTGGCCTCGTTTACAAAGGATGAGTGGCCCTTGAACTCCTTTAGCATCTTTCCCGACTTTAGGCCATGTAACCTTACAGTATAGTCGAATGAGGCACTGAGCACCTGGCTGTTGTCGCGCGAAAACTGCAGGCAGGTGATTCCCTTAGTGTGAGCCTTCTCGAACTTACGCAGGCATTGCCCGGTAATGATACGCCACACCTTGATTTGACCGTCTTGCGCGCCAGAAGCCACCATCTCAGAGTCACGGGAGAAGTTAAGCGCCAGCACTGCCTGCTCCATCATCATGAACTGGTCCTGCGCCTGATACTTCAAATCCTTTCGCACCTTGCCGGTGGTAAAGTTCCACACCTCGAGGAAGCCATCAACACTACCTGTGATCAGGTATTGGCCATCGGGTGAGAACTGGGCGCACTCCACATGCGATTTCTGGCCAAACTTGATCTGCCGGAAAAGCTGTGTGGGATACATCTCCTCCTCCTGATCTTTCATGGCTGCCTTGCCGCGGAACAAATCGATGGTGGTGCCGGGCGGCAGTAATCCCTGGTGCTGTTGCCACTTGAGAGCCTGTCCCAGGAGGGCCAACAGCCTGGAAGAGGGCACCACGTGCACCTCGCCACTCAGCTCCTGGGAAATAGCCGTGCGTCGCTTCTCCTTGCTGCTGCCCTCCGCATAGGCTTCCCTGGGATCAAAATAGGCTCGCTGCAGCATGTTTTCTGGAATTGTGGATTTTTAAATAATGAAAATAAAGTTTAAACTAGTAAATGAGCTTAATCCTACCCAGATGAATGTATCTCTCTGGCTCCTGCTGCTTCAACATGCTCATTGGATCCGTTTGGCGGAGCAAAGATCTGGCGGCACCCAATTCCCTCAGCTCTATCAGTTCCAGCACGATCTGCTCGTACAAATTGAGCAACTTTTTGTCCGGCAGCTTGAGCGACTGCGTCACCTTTAGCACAGTGTCCCAGTGGCCATTGGATATATCCTGCACAAAGCCATCCACGCTGTCCACTGTATTGAGAGAGACGCCCGTTTCCTCCTAGTATAAACCTGGGATTAAATGGGTTTCAGTGAGGAGCCGGACTCACCTGTAGGGTTTGCAGGGTCTTCATCAAATTGGACTCCTTGAGATACTGCTGGATAAGCCGGATCACACTTTGGAAGGAAGAGGAAATCCAGAATGGCTCAAAACTGTTTTTCCAGCTTATGAAATTATATTTTGTAGTACTCACTCGGCTGATTCGATTTCTATGGACATGACTTGTCAAGTGCCTGCCTACAATTACCCCTTAAAATAAGTTTTAATTTAGGTTTTTATAAAAGTTTACAAATATTGATAAAAAAAATGCGTCTTCTTAGTGATGGCCAAAGACCGATAGTACAAATATTCGATAGCTGACCATTAAACAGCTGTTCGGAGATCGACTAGTCAGCTGTTCTGCCGATGTGAAAACAAAACGCATTTTGTGAAATTAAGAAAAAGACAAAAATAAAGAGGAAACCGGCTAATTATAAATATTAAAATGCTTCTCGTTTTGCATTTCATAAAGTACATTTGATAATGTACTAATTTTATTTTCCTACGCACACCATCGATGGCCGGTATGTGGAAACGGGAGATATTACATTTTATTGGTAAATCAAACTTTATTTAAACATTAAACTTTGAGCACGCACATTGACGCAACACAGCCACACACACACAGACACACATTCGTGTCAGCTGGGGTAGACAAAAACAAACACAACGATCGAGAAAAAAAAACCCGATTGAAGAAGAAATGGCGGTTCCCGCTCTTTTGGAATATCGGCGGTAAAACGATCGCTGTCGCTCTGGCGGGGAGGTTTAGTCAGAATTCTCCCGCCACCTCGTGCAGTACTTTACACTTCCCTGTTTCTGGAAAAACGGAGCGGAGCTGTACCTACCAAATCGAACTTCATTATCTCAATCTTAACGTGCAGATCGCGGTTTGTCCGGACTCATGGCGGCGGCAGCATCCAGTTCCCGGCAGGGACGCAAGTTCGCCGAGGGCACGCAGCCCTTCACAGTGCTCATCGAGGGCAACATCGGGAGTGGAAAGACTACGTATCTGAATCACTTTGAGAAGTACAAGAACGACATATGCCTGCTCACCGAGCCCGTGGAGAAGTGGCGCAACGTCAACGGCGTCAATCTTCTGGAGCTGATGTACAAAGACCCCCAAAAGTGGGCCATGCCCTTTCAGAGTTATGTCACGCTGACGATGCTGCAGGCGCACACGGCGCCCACCGACAAGAAGTTAAAAATAATGGAGCGCTCCATTTTTAGCTCGCGGTAAGTGCATCCGTAATCTGGTTTGGCAAGGCTATTAATCGAGGTCCCTTTGCAGTTACTGCTTCGTGGAGAACATGCATCGCAATGGGTCCCTGGAGGAGGGCATGTTCAATACCCTGCAGGAGTGGTACAAGTTCATCGATGAGTCCATTCACGTGCAAGCCGATCTCATCATCTACCTACGCACCTCGCCCGAGGTGGCGCACGAGCGCATACGTCAGCGAGCCCGCTCCGAGGAGAGCTGTGTGCCGCTGAAGTACCTGCAAGAACTGCACGAGCTGCACGAGGATTGGCTAATACATCAACGTCGCCCGCAGAACTGCAAAGTAAAGATGCAACTCTAAAGAAATTGTTAAGTCAAAGCACTAACTCATTATTTTAAACTCCAGGTTCTAGTTCTCGATGCCGATTTGAATCTTGAAAACATTGGCAGCGAGTACCGGCGCTCGGAGACCAGCATTTTTGACGCCATCTCCAGCAACCACCAACCATCTCCCGTGCTGGTCTCGCCCAGCAAGCGGCAGCGTCTCGGCAGTTAGTCCTGACAATTTTCGAAACATTTATCGTATCCTAAGTGTGTATGTGTAGTAACTATTTAGTTTAAGTGGCGACTTCGCGGGACAATGGTCAGGAAATCATACTGCTACCCAGCTAACACTTCAAGCCCGAAACGCATACGTATTTTAACAATTATAATTCCCATTATATTCTCTCTATGTAAACTTAACTAGTAAGACAAAAATTGTAATAAAAACTGTTAGACAACCGTATTTTAGACAAAGGGCAATTGCATTTGCAAATACTGTTTAAACGTTTTCCAAATATATCCATTATTGTGTAAAAATTTATTCTTCCCGAACTGCCCACTTTTAAAACAACCATTTCTTGATAAGACTTCCTTTTTTATATCAATTTACATAATTTGTTTTGGTTGCAATAATTGTTACTTAAAGGCTACGACTTAATTAGGCCACCTCAAGAAGTGGGCTGCTTACGAGCGCTGGATATCCCAGATTTCTGTCAATTGGGTCCGTTCATGATGGACGGTCGCACGCCAGGAATAGTGCCCAACGGTGGCGGTGGTCCCATCATGGCCATTGGATTCATTATCGGCGGCGGACGCATGCCTGTCATCATGGGATTCATCATTGGTGGCATGTACGGCATTCCTGGCATTCCCGGACGTGGAGGAGCACCCATGTTGGGCGGCGGTATGGAGACACCCGCCGGCTTGGGAGGAGCCGCAGATGGTCCGCCGGCAAATGGATTATTTGTGATCTTTCCGGCTTTGAAGGCAGCGGTGGTGGCGTCGATTAAATGCTGGGCCTGCTCCTCCATCCACTTCTGGTAGTAGAATTTTACATTGTCGCGATGCTTGCGGCCGGTGCAGTGAGTTTTCCGCACCGAAGGCGAATCGTGAGTTAAGTAGGTGTCGCAGTAGTCGCAATAGTACTTCGGCATCGCTCTATTTATTTAATTTGATGTAGAAAAACTGATTTTTAATTATTTACTTTTTCACAGCAATGTGACCTTACTCGCCTAGGGTTGTCAGGCTTAGAGAATGTTAAGCTATTTTATTGCTAAATTTGGCTATTAAATGCTATTGGCTAGAATTTTTTACACTTGTCATATGTGTATACGCTGGCAGAGTAATATATTTTCAGGCATTTGTTTTCATGAATTCATAAAAATTCATAAATTTGCTTTCCGACCCCATAAACCATAAATATTATTTATCAAAATATGAGTCTATCTAGTTATGTCCGGTAAAAAAATAAATAATCGAAATGATTAAAAATTTTCAAAAATTGACAAAATTGTACAATACTTCTTGGTGGCATATAAAGGCCAAAAAAACTAAAATTTGTAAAACTCATATATATTTCTATGCATTATATTAACATTAAGATTAACAAGAAAGGAAGCTATATTTGTTAGAAACAATTGAGTAATTCCTGCTTTCATTTCTTTCACCTACATATATAATATATATTTTCATAAAATTTTTTTTAGAATAACATAAATTAGCTATATCTCAAATTTGATACAATACAAATTTTTGTTTGTAAAATTTTTTCGATCGTTCCTATGGCAGCTTCATGATATGACGGACGGACAGGCGGACATGGCTAGATCGACTCGGCTATTGATGCTGATCAAGAATATATATACTTTATTTGGAGATGACTCCTTCACTACGTTGCAAACTGTCAAATGAAAAAAATTTTGCTAGGAACTCACTGAATCTTTACAAATAATTTATTAAAATTCAAAAAAAGAATACAACTATTTTCAAAGTTATAAAATTTTAACATAATGAAAACCTCCATAGAATATATTTTAAAGTTTAAATGTATGCATTTTTGGCTTAGTTATGATCACTCTAAAATTCAGTACCATTAACATATAAAGAATAATGTTGTTGTTATATCATATCACAATATACCAACTTAAATTATTAGTGTATTAACGTTTAACCGAGGTTAAATTCCGTTTCAATTTTCTTGTTTAGCTATTTAGCTATTTTAGTCCAGAAAATAAGAGAAATTAGACGAGTCTAAAAAACTATCGGTGCTAGCGATAGTGTAGTGTGACCAAGGTTTAGGTATTTGTTGGTATTTTCTGCGCCTATCACTTGCAGTCACACCTATCGCACACGTAAAAGGAAAATAAATTTCCCGGTTTTCCAAAATGCCGAAAAAGAAAACTGGACAGCGAAAGAAAGCTGAGAAGCAGAAGCTGCGCCTCAAAGAGATCCGTAGCCGTGAAGTGCCTCTGGCCGATCTGCCCTGCAATGCTCCGATGGAGTGCGACAAGTGCGAGAAGAAGCAGAAGTCGCGAGCTTTTTGTTACTTCTGCCAGAGCCTCCAGCGCCTGCCCATTTGCGCCCAGTGCGGCAAGATCAAGTGCATGCTGAAAACCGGTGATTGTGTGGTGAAGCATCCCGGAGTCTACACCACCGGTCTGGGAATGGTGGGCGCCATCTGTGACTTCTGCGAGGCTTGGGTGTGCCACGGACGCAAGTGCCTGCAAAATCACGCCTGCACGTGCCCGCTCCTGAATGCGGTGTGCCTGGAATGCGAGCGTGGGGTGTGGGAGCACGGCGGGCGCATCTTCAAGTGCTCCTTCTGTAATGGCTTCCTGTGTGAGGACGATCAGTTCGAGCACCAGGCCAGCTGTCAGGTACGCTCCTTTGGTTCTTTTTTTGAGCTCTTTACCCATTTTCGATCATCTCCAGGTGCTGGAATCTGAGAACTACAAGTGCCAGTCGTGCAACCGACTAGGCCAGTACTCCTGTCTGCGCTGCAAGACCTGCTACTGCGAGGACCATGTGCGTCGCAAGGGCTTCAAGTACGACAAGAACAAGGCCATTCCCTGCCCGAAGTGCAACTACGACACCTCGGTGACTAAGGATCTGAGCATGTCCACGCGCTCGCACAAGTTCGGTCGCCAACAACAGGGCGGCGGCAGCGACGACGAGGACGGCTACGGTGGCTACTACGGAGGTGGTGGCAGTGGATACTATGGCGGCGGAGCTAGCGGGGGTTACTCGTATGGTGATGATGATGATGAGGATGAGTCCGATGGGGACTATGAGGAGGACAGCGATGAAGATGACGACGAGGATGATGAGGAAGATGAAGGCGAGACCACCGAAAGCGAGCCAGAGAAGGAGAAGAATAAGGAAGCTGGCAAAAAGGCCGCCAAATAAAGTCATTGGGGTTGCGGAAACTGTTATTATCTGGCCTTAGAATGACCCACTTAGTGAGTTCGTTGGCTGTGCACTCGTTGCTCTAATTGTATAAGTGAATAAATTCTTTGTCAGACCATAATCGGGATGCAACAAGCGCCATAAGCTTCGGCTCTTGGCCAAAGGATATCAGGTAGCCAGCTACACTACATGTACATCACAATGTTCAAGGGAGCATGTATATCTGGGGACCCGGTTGGGGTGTACGCATATGATGATGGCCATGCCAGAGGCTCTGCCTGCTGCGACGCCGGCTTCTCTGTTGATAGACTCATCCATCTCCAATCCACTTACGAGCGCAAATATTTACACAATTTACTCGAAAACGGAGGTATGAGCATATAATATTTCCAAAAACGATGGCAAACACACCACACACACTCATACACAGGCAGACACACGCACTCCGGCATTTCGGAATGTTTGGCAGTTAGGCAGAGCGGAACAGCAACAGCAGCAGCGATGGAGGAAGAAGGATGGGGGCCAGGAAGGGGACTCCCATCATCAGGCTGAAACATTTTAGGCATTGCAAATCAATGATGGGCCCTTCTACAGGAGGGAGGAGCATAGTTCTTCTGCATATGAATGAAATCATATGTGGCGTTACTTATGTAGGGGATGTCCTGGTTATGTGGGTGTGGAATCCGTGGGAGTGGGCCTGGGTGAGTGGCAGGCGAATCAACTGTGTACATAATAAAGATTAGTGTGAGAGGATATATGGGATGCACATACAGCGGTGGGTAAAACAATAGCTTGATTGGTATTAACATTATTAGGGTGGTTTAATGTTTATTAAAAGATAGTGAATATACATAAAAAAAATACTGTACTATGAGCTGAAATGGAGTAAATATTGCGGTTGAAACTGCTTTTTATTTACACCACCACAAAAACTTAGTACACTAGCTTTAAATGATCCCTAAATATAAAGGAATTTCTTTTATTAGATTTCCTTATTTTCTTCATATGATTCTAATTAATCTTAAACAATATTGTTTTAAATGTATTAAGATAAGAATTATTTAAATTAAAAATTAGAGCTTTTTCATACCCTCTCAGGGTATAATACTTTTTGTTAAAAGCTTGCAACGCAGTGAAAGCGTCATTTCCGACCCTATAAACCATATATATTTTGATCAGCATTAACAGCTGAATCAATCTAGATATATCATATCAAACAAGAAAGGAAGCTAACTTCGGCACGCCGAAGTTTATATACCCTTGCAGATAGAACTTCTATGAATAGGAAACTATACAATATAAATTATATATATTTGTAATAAAAAACAACGAAGTACTACCTGCTTTCATTTCATTCACCTATACATATTATATTTGCAGTTTTACATTCACAGATTTGCATTTTCCCTCTACATCAAACGATCGTTTATATGGCACCTATATGATATAGTCTTCCGATTTTCATGAAATTTGACACAAAATTTAAGACTAATATAAAATGGCCATACCTTAAATTTGATGAAAAGCAGCTGAAAACTGAAAAAGTTATAAATTTAATTGTATTAATTTCTCGATCGTTCCTATGGGAGCTATATGATATAGTAGTCCGATTTTCATAAAATTTTATGCAAAATTGTAGAATATAGTAGAATGGCTATATCTCAAATTTGATCCAATTCTATTGAAAACTGAAAAAGTTAAAAATTTTTTTGTAAAAATTTTCCGATCATTCCTATGGCAGCTATATGATATAGTCGTCCGATCCGGCCCGTTCCGACATATATACGAGTGAGAGTATATAGAAGGCTAACTACAAAGTTTCATTCAGATAGCTTTAAAACTGAGAGACTAGTTTGCGTAGAAACGGACAGACGGACAGACGGACAGAAGGACAGACGGACAGACGGACATGGCTAGATCGACTCGGCTGTTGATCCTGATCAAGAATATATATACTTTATATAGTCGGAGGTGCCTCCTTCACTGCGTTGCAAACTTCTGACTGAAATTATAATACCCTGCAAGGGTATAAAAATAAATTTTTGAAATTTTTCAAAATTTTATAAGGGGTTACATCGTAAAAATTGTCAAAAATTTATGCAGGTTTATTACCCTAATAAAAACTAGCATAGGAAAGGTTTCCGAATGAAAATTAATGCATTTTTGGCTTAGCTATGCGTTTTCCATTTTTGATTTGGTATAAAAAATATAGATAAAAATTAATGGTAATATATTATTATTATATAATATTAATGGTAATATAATTGTAGTCAGCAGCTTGTAACGCAGTGAAGTATTCATTTCCGACCCTATAAATCATATATATTATTGATCAGCATAAACATCCGAGTCGATTAAGCCATGTCTGGTTAAAAAATAAAAGTTTAGAAATTCTTTCAAAATTTGAAAATTGTATAAGGGGTTACATCAATAAAATTGGAAACAATTTTCTTAAATGTTGAACTAAGTATGCAGATTTATTAACCTAATAAAAACTAGCACAGAAAAGCAATCGGAATTTAAATTAAAGAATTTTTGGCTTAGTTATGATATTTGAAAAACTTTGATTTAGCCAAAAAATAGGCATATAAAAATATCGATTTAATATATCTAGAATACACATAATTTGTGTATATCTTATAGGTATACGAAGGCCAAAAGCCGTAATTATTTCTATTTGTTTTTGTGATCATATAGACGGAACTTAATGAACGCGCTCAACTAAGAATACTACCAGAATAATTGAATATAATTAATATTGTATTTTAACAGACATTAATGAAGGACAAGAAATCATATCAGTACCAGTAAACTTTCTGCATACTATAGATATTAATATCTAGC